TAGGATATCAATTCAAGTTGCTACATTCTATAGATGCTATTAATTATATACGGAGGATAATAAATGAAAGTCTGTTGTGCTCTAAACGAAATAATAACAGATGGATTCATAACTATTATTTCCAGACCTCTAAATCTGTTTGAATAAATCCGACAAGGAAGACTGAATTTATCCACATAACTTTAACATGTCTTGATAATCATAACATGGCATAACTATATAAATAATGTAGTAATATACTTCAAATAACACAGATTCTTAATCCTTATCCATTGGTTTGTACTGTACAAAACTTCTCGATTAGTACATTTGTCATATGTAAACAATACTTTAACAACATTATTCATTATTATTATTATACTTTAAACAGTCATATGATGTTGTTAGTGAATTCTCTAACATAAATTATGATTTATTTATTCAATGAAAGGTATCTTTCTAAACTTTTCGTAAGAAAACATCCATTTACATATATTAGAATCCAACCGGTGCTCATAATAGAAGATATATGTATATACAACAGTTAAGATTCAATCAAATTGTCTATAAATATCGAGTCAGTTGCATAAGATTAACTAATATAAGATCACAAAAACGTATTTGCACAATGAATGTAGTAAACAAAAAGGTCAACATTAGAAATCTGTCTTACATAACTTTTTTCACTGTTAAAATTTACTATGATGTAATTTAATCTGAATAATTATAATTAATTGTAATAGTTTACTCTTATGATAATAATGTAAATTTTGTTTACTATACTTTTAATTGGAATCAGACAACGTTCGTGAATAAAACTGATGTCAATTTAAGCACTAAACGAGTTTCATTTGTTATTTTTCAAATAAATTAGAATTTATGACCCTTACATAATCGACTAAAAATCTTGTAAAACACACGTTTCTATTTATGAGTAGTGTGATTAACTCTTAAATTAATATATTCACAGATAAAGTGTCAAGATAAAATCATTCACTTATTGTTCTTCAACAACTACTACCTAATTTTTATGTTAAATGTGTGGATTGGTTGATTTTAGACATTAATACATTTTCAATGGTCTAGAGGTTAAGCGTTGACGCGCGAAACCGAAGGTCCTGGGTTTGAGTCCCGCATGCGGGATCGTGAATGCACACTGCTAAGGAGTCCCGTACTAGGATGAAACGGCCGATCAGTGCTTCTAGATTTTCAATGGTAGTCTAACATTGATCTATTCATGATATCAATCTAAAATGTGTAAAAGTCACCAGACGAAATCTTGAACAAAAATACATAACAAAATTGAATAATTTAGCTGAGTAAACATTCTGAAAATTGATTGATAAAATCTAATCCTGAAGCAAACATAACGTGATATTGATCAATACGAAGTGATTATTTTAGACTAACCAAATTTCTATTCTTTCTACTATCATTAGTAAGTGTTTTATATTCAATAGGATGATGGGACTCGATAAATAAATTTCTTGGCCAAATTCATCAATATCACACGACGTCACAAGTTTTTAATATTTTCTGGGTTGTCAGTCAGTTATAAGAAACGTAGAACATTCAAAACATATGCGTTGGTTCGATTCGGTAAATTAATATCAACACAATAAAAGTATCAATAATAGCAAAAGGTAATCAGCATAAAGAATATGATTCGAGTATAATAGATAAGTTTGTGAAATCAAGCAGTATGAACTAATTTTATTACTCAGGATTTAAAAGAATCACCATTTTGATTGACTATATCTTGTCACTCAGCATGTCCAGCAAATTATTGTAGCTGTTGCGCCTACACCAAGCAGGCAGTCTGTACCCAACAACATGGCTTGAATTAATTTAACTCGTTCATGAACTGGTGCTAGGTTTTGTTATGAGCAGAATTCTGTGCAAAATATTCAGACCTTCGCTAATATACGAACATCATGACTAATCAACATGTGGCTCAAATTTTTTCAATGACTTAGACTAGACATGAAGCAAATTTTGCATTTAGAGTGGGAGAAAAGTATTTTAAATGTACTTACACTGGATGGACCTGGGTATGCCTCACTTAGTTCTATACATACTTGTCGATAACTTACTGTATGTTAATAAAATTAATTTATGGATTTTGTCAGAGTTGTCTTTCAATACTTTCTGTATTTTAGTGTCAAGTCATTAATATTATATCATTAATTTGTTGTTTTACTTGATGGACGTTCTTAAAACTACTAGGTTGATTTTCCATGGTTCTGTTTAATATCAATTCCATATTTATGTTTTTTGGTTTTAGGATTTTAAAATAAAAACGGATATATGCGGCACTACCACATACGTTTTGTATGTTCATTTTTTTAATAAAAGACGACTGCTGAAATCATTAGAGTGTATTATTTGGGAAAGAAATAAGAAAAGACAATACGAAATATTATCAAAAGGGGTTTTGTGGAAATTTTAATAATTTTATAGTTGAATGTATGAGTCAATCGAAGCTAGATCATTATGGAAAACCTGGAAGCACTGGACAGTTGTTTTGTTTTAGTATGGGTCTTTTCAGCAGTTACAGTTTGATAAACTAATTTAAGTGACCCTAAGTAGTATTGATTATATTGAGACATTAGATGATTAGAGGTAATCGATAGGAAATCATGTTTAGCTTATATTTCATGTTGTTCGCCACACGTTATGAATGTCTACTTGTAATGTTAATGGAACTAATTCTACTTGAGTGATTTAACCGCACTTCAAGTTTTCTTACCATCTGGGGTATTACCATGGCGTTAATTGATTGATATTTTAATTATCACAACTGTTCGTTCAGTTTTTTTCCATTATTTACCCGACATAATGGTTTTTTTTAATAGACATATAATATTACAAATGATGTTAGCTAACGAGGTAATAAACACTACGAGACATTATCAAAACTAAAACATCGTATTGTTGATATTGTCACTCTGAACTGTGAATTTCGGTTAAATTTTCAATTATGACATTAATATAATCTATGAAATATATTTTGGTCGCAAATTATTAGTTGCTATGGTCACTTCTTTTTATAATATGTTACGATTGCTACACAGATTCCACTGGATTCTAAACCTAGCAATCTAGAGTTTGAGTGTTCAAGAGAGAAATAGAAGCCCGTGGATTTAATTACATGTTATATTGTAGTGGATGTACACTTGATAGGTTCAAATGGCTGTCAAATGCCTCTTGGTTACCAATGGATATTTAACTTAGGTCGGTTCATATTATTAACAATATTCAATAATCACAGCGAACCTCTTAATTAATATATTTTTTCATAGTTTAAATCAGTAATTGATCCAAGTTAAATTATCACTGAAGATCGGAAAGCACTCAACAGCCTCTTCATTTTAGTATGGTATTCTTCAGCAGTGCATATGTAAGATACTACATCCCGTAATCGAACTGAGGGCCTTCAGTCTCGCGCACTTACGCTGAACTTTCAGACCACTAAACATTCATCCAACGGTACTACGCTCTAACTTTTCAACGAATTTACGATATTACACAACCCTTAGCCATCGCTTCCGTTTGATAGCTATCTCACACTCGATATGGCTGAAGTGTACACTGCTAAGGAGTCCTATACTACAACGAATCAGTTATCCAATGTTTCTAGATTTTCAATGGTGATTTAACTAAGAACAGTTGATGATTTAAACCAAGAAAATTTTGCATTCTTCACAAATCATCCTATACTAATGAGTCATCTTTTATTGACATACTTATCGATGATTAATATTATTCATACTGTTTTTGTCCTTATCATTCTCATATCATTTTAATTGGGTGCAATCCAATAACAATGACCTTGTTTTTTATTGGTTACTTCATTCAACTGTGTAAAATTTATTGTTTGAGTTCATTTTTTTCACTTTTAAAATTATTCATTAATTGAAATAGATTGATACACAAAAAAATATAAAAAAGATTAATTTACGCCTATTATTATTATATAAATTACTGAATTTGCTCTTTTGCTTTTTATGGATCAATCGAATAAGAAACCTATTAATTCATCAAATACAACTACTACATTTCAATCCACTTCATCATCTTCATTACCAAGAACAATCTATGCACATCGTATAGAAAATTATTCACCAATAACATTTACATATATTAAAGAATATTGTAATAATGAAATTATAACATCTATTTATACAATATGGAATTTTTTACCAAAAATTCTATATGAACAATTACATTATATTTCAAATATATTTTTTATATTAGTTGCTATTATACATTTATTTGCTGATGGTGCTACATCTATATTTGCTATAATTGGTCCATTTTCATTTGTATTATTAGTTACTATGATTAAAGATGCAATCTATGATATATTAAGACATCAACAAGATAAACAAATTAATGAAAAATTATTTCCATTAATGAAAATTAATATAAAAACAAATGAAATTAAATGGATATTAAAAAAATCAAAAAATTTACATGTTGGTGATGTCATATTATGTAAAAATAATGAAGAATTACCATGTGATTTAATTATCTTAGCAACAAGTAATGACAATTGTAAATGTTATATAACTACATCAAATTTAGATGGTGAAAGTACAATTAAAACAAATTATTGTTTATTAGATACACAAAATGTCTATAAAAATTATATAAATGATTCAATCAATTATCCATTAAATAATGATATATTAAATTCATTATATATCAAAATTAATTGTCAACAACCAAATGAAGATTTTAATAATTTTGAAGGTTGTATTACAACAAATTTAAATCAACAAATGAAACAACCATTAACATTACGTAATATATTATATAAAGGTGCAAAATTAAAAAATACAAAATCTATTATTGGTTTAGTGATATATACTGGTAATGATACAAAATTATTATTAAATTCTAAAAAAGTCAAACGTAAATATAGTTCACGTGAAAGTAAAGCTAATCAAATTTTATTTACATTTTTGATTATAATGATTGGATTTTGTATATTATTTTCCATAGTAACAAAAAAATGGTCAATCAATAATTTAATTAATCCATTTATACCATTTGAACATTTTAAAAATTGGATACAAATTAAAGGGGTATTTCGATTTTTATTTATATTAAATTATATAATACCAATATCATTAATTATAACAACAGAAATACAACAAATTACATCAGCATATTTTATATCAGCTGATATGAATTTATATGATATAGAACAAGATATATCAACTAAATCAAATACACCACAATTAGTTGATGAATTAGGACAAGTAAATTATTTATTTAGTGATAAAACAGGTACATTAACTAAAAATGAAATGAATTTACATACATTAGCTGTATTAAATACCGATAAAGTATATGTATTTAATGATAGTACACTTCAAAATATCAATGATAATACTAAGAATAGGAAGAAGGAGAATACACAGAAATCAAGTCGATTAAAACAAATTTCACAAAAAATAAATAAATTTGGTTATATTGGTGTTGTTTATGAAGAATCCAAGGAATTTCAATCTGAATATTATAATGATAATTATGGATTTATATCATCATCAGATTCTGAACTTGATGAAGAAGATCACAATGAAATAGTACCACATTTTATGTTGAATAAAGTAAATAAATCTAAAGAAAATATTACATCAGCAAATGAATATCTTAATTATGCATCTAATGATAATAATAATAATAATAAATTACCTAATGAATTATTACATTGTCTTACAACACTAGCATTATGTCACACCGTAGAAGTAAGTGAGGAGGATTCAGTAAAACAAAATAGAATAGACGAACATATATGTTTGGAAAATTTTTATCAGGTAAACGGTTGTTATTGTTGTTAAATTCGAAATTTCTTTTTAATGGTTTTATTTATTTAAAAGGTAAAGATTATTGCAAATGAATGTGATGGATAGAAAGTGGAACATTTGTTTTAGTACGGTGTAAGAACTCTTTATCATGAATATTCACTACTACATAAGTTATCTTTAAGATTCTTAATAAGTAGAATACTATTCAAACATTCTATTGAAATTATGAGAATGTCTGTTGAAATAATACTAAAGAAGTCAACTACGTAAACAACGTTACAGTAATTTACTAATTACACCAAATAACGGTACATCTTCTTTATTGAATACCAAGATTATCATTATGAATCTTAGTGGTTTTGACGTTTAGCCAATGTGCAGTTCTGAATGAGTGAAAATTTCTGAACAAAAAGGGAGATATCTAGTCATAAATCTCAGTGGTTGTCCATCTAATGTCAATTCATGAGGTGATTTACCTTCCAACTTAACTACTGTTGATCTTTTAGTTTTTTTTGACAAATTTTACATTTATCTATTTTATAATACTCAAAGGATTGACTTAATTACTACTGATATGATATTGTTATTTCTGTCAAAATTTAATGAGTTATTTAAATAAATTTTGAGGATTTATGTAGATAGTAGTATTTTCAAAGTTGAATTCACGAATGAATCTAAGCTAGACCACCATTGAATACTTGAAAGCACTGGATAAATAAATCTTCAGTTATCCGATTTGAATAGAGTATTCATTTTTTTGTTGCCAATATTCATCTAATCTTAGAGCCAAGTGGATAGCGGGATGGGGTTTGAAGCGAACGGTATTAAGTTCAAGTTTCAGAGTGAATATCAACTCTGAGATACAGGTGGATCTAACTGACGAGTCCCAATTAGGACGAAATGCGTATCTTATATTCCACTGCTAGCCACTATTCAACTTTGCATATAAAGCTTATGAATTAAGGCTATATCGAGGCAATCCGCACAGGATGCACATATGCCAACAAGAGCCTGATCAACTGTAGTCCTAAACAACAGTGGGAAGATACATGTAAAACAACGCCAAGTGGACTTAGAGCTATTGTTTAAAACCCTAACAGGGAACATCACGTCTTATCAATGTATACAAATACTATGCGATAACGTTAATTAATCGAAGTTTTTGGAAACACTGAAATATACATCGTGTTTTGATTGAGAAAACTAATATTTCTCCAATAAGAAGACGTTCATCTAAATTACAGGTGAATATGTTTTTTATTTAACTAAGCTTGAAGAAAGTGTATAATTTAATAAAAAGTCCATTATTAGTACACATTACTATTAGATATTTCTATAAGATTAAAAAACATTATATAACTGAGTTATATTTTTATCATGAACCGATATTTATTATTCTGGATCATCTATATTGATTCATAGGCTTATTAAACACGAATGTAGCAACAAATTCTAACATTTTTATATTGAAACGAATATAGTTTTTATACGTTCAATGATACAACCGCTGGATGGTTATCTTATATTCCTTTTCCAGTAAATTAAACCACTTTTCAAAAAACAATGATTTTTAAAAATATCGAAAAATAATATACTGAACTTTAATGTTTATACTTCTGATGTTCCATTGGATTGAAGCAAAAGTCAGGTAATTCGATGTTAAGGTGAGATAGAAACTAAGAATGGAAACTGTTTAACAATCAGAGTAATGTTAAGCTTCCTTAGTTTACACCTGTTATATCATCTTGTTTATGTTATTGTAATATTTCATAAGTAATTAATTGTTTAACATTTTATTGTTTAGTTTGGTTTATTACAACTAACTAATTAAATACACGATTATGCAGGTGGGCTTTAAATAGTACTATTTATCTGATGACCAATTATACTAGATATAATTCTTTAAAAGGAAATACGTGGACTCTTGTTCAAGTATGCCTCCCAGTGATTGAGAGTCAAGTGCTTTAACTAGGCTTTACATTTGGGCTCTAAAGGCAAAATAAGTTTAGAAATTAGTATTTTCTTTTGGTGATCAGTCACAGGATCTGTATCAATAGGATGAAACTATATTGCATTTTGCGTAAAATGATTATTTAGATAGATTGTAAATTTTACTGACCAGGATTTCTGCATTTTACTCACTATAATTTACATTTCTTCCCCATGATCATTCAAAAATCCGGTTTATTTATAGTCTTGTCAAACTAGATGTATATGAAGAGTCATTAAATTCAGAGAGGATAACCTTTTTCTTTATACTAAATAGTTAATAGAATAACAACTAGTGATTTTCAATAAACTGAAATAAATATTCCTTATTCTTACTTACTTACGTCTGTTACTCCCAGTGAGGTATAGGCCGCCAGCTAGCATTCTCCAGCCCACTATGTCCTGGGCCTAAATGGTTGCTCTGGTTGTCAGAAGGATCATCAGCCTCATGACTTCCGAAGGAACTCGGTTTTCATTATGAGGCATCATAACTCTTTTAAATGAAGACCTAACTCCTAGGTCAGAGTTGAAATGGTTTGAATTATCTTTTCTGGTTAGCATTTTTTTAGCGAGTTAGTTTTCTACGGGATACGGTCGTTAATCCCATGCCCAACCTTCTTCCTCTATCCGGGCTTGGGACCTGCAGTAGCACCAGAGGGGTTCCAGGCTGAGTTATTGTATCTCATAAATTATTATCAAACTCTGTTCACTTAAGATTTACTGTTCAATGAATAATTTCTATAAAATAAGTCAAAGAGAATTAGCATTTGATGTCTAGATGATGTATTTAAAGCTCAAAAGTATTTCTTTTAACAATATGAAATCGCTTTTATTTACATCTGTTGAAATGTGACTTCACCCGTATTGAATTACACTGATGGATATTTTACTTAAAATTAAGAGTTCTTAATGAGAATCATATACATGTTTATTGTTTCATCTTGTATATAAAGGAGTTAAATATTAATTTTTATCCGTTAGAAGATTTATAAAGATGGTAGTATTTTCATAAGTCAACTCATGGTTTCAACTATGAAAATATTGATTTGGTAAATAGACGATACTATTAATAGATTATCTGTTTTTATATAACAGAAAATTATCTATTTACTTGGATCAACATTTATAGTAGTATAGCAACTAAGAGTAGAGTTGTAAATGTTAATCAATAGATTGATTGGTTTAAAAAATTCATTGTCTTCATGAGATATTATAATAGTGAGTTAGTTGTTATGTAGGTTGATGATAGTATACTTGTTAGAATTTCCTCTAGTTATCAAGTTTTCAATTGTTCAATTCATAATGAATAAAGTAACTTGAAATAATAATAGTGTTACGCAATTAACAAAAATTAGTAAGGTGAAAAGTTCTTTTTACAATGGAATGAAGCCAAGGTAGATTAAAGCACTGAATACAAGTTAAATGAGATTAATTGGAAATTTTAATTCATTTATCTATTTGGTTAATTTTATAATAAACTTAATACTTTGATGATTAAAAGTTCTCAAAATTTAATGTAGTAAATAAACAATAAAAACTAAGAATTCTTCTCTAGTCATGTGGATGTGATTGTTTTCTTTCCTTATTTACTATTATTAATGATAATAAGTTATATTTCTTGATTTCATTCATTCTTTTTAACTTATTTTCCTCATTGTTAATTATGATCGTTATCACTTATTTCACATTTGTTTCTGTTTCTTTGACTCTACATTAGACGTTATTATTATTTATTTGTTTATTTGAACACATAAATATTGATACAAAGGGGCACCGAATAAATATGAACCACACAAGTCACTTGATTTGTGTGTGGGCCGTGATACTACCCGGGTGCCCAGGTCGGAACACGTGGTTTTCTTAGTAGGTCACACCCGGAGTCCTCGACCTAAAGGTCTGATCCACAAAGCAGTGGATCAACGGCCCATGATAGCCTGTGACCAATAATTTGCTCATTCACCATTTTTCTTCACAGATTCCTGGAGCCCATATGTATAATTGATGGAGAAGATTCGTAACTCAGGTGGATGACTTTGATGGCTGGTTTGGTCGTCGGGCTTTCATCGTTCTTCTAAACGACATCATCAGAACAAACGTCTACGCTAGATTCGGTTTCCTAAGCTCTTCTAGTAACACCCAGGTTAAGCCTATACAGCAACCTGAACACGAAAGAAAAGACGCGAAATAAGAAAAAAACGATTTATTTCAAGGTTTGTTTATGCACAGAAAACCTAGGGTACTTATAACATTTTAGATGGCTTGGAGATTCCAGGAATTACTGGAACGCTACTAAACTTATTAGCAACATAGGTAATCATCCACTCAGAAACACGATATGTGACTGTTCTCTTCTTAGATGATTGTTCCAAAACCTCTATTAAAGTATTCTCAGCATTTTCAGAGCCTCTTTTGACCTTCTTCGAGGAATTTTCTGGTTCTCTTCAATAGGAAATAACATGTATTATTATTGTTTCTATCATTATTGTTTCATCCTGTTGATGTCCTGTATTGATGTAAAGTACAATAACTTGAGTCAATACCTTGTCTCAAATCCTATTCTTTCTATGGCTGATTATTCTACTGAATCTTCAAGTTTTTTGCTTTCTTTTTTAAGAAATTATGAGTAATAGTGCTTTCTTCATGGATCAAATTACAAATGTCCCAGATCAACAACAATCTATATATCATTTTTTTTTCATGGTTCAAAAGTATGTTTACATGTTGAAAAGTAATTCATGCAACATTTTTATAGTTTAGAAGTGTAGAATTTTACACGATGCTGAATTTAGATTAATAAACGGTGAAAAAAAAACACATGACTTTATAGAAACAAAAATATTTCTGTTTTTTTTTTTACATTATGTTCTAGGTAGAAAGGTGGGTTGGGTAGAGTTATTCAGTGTAGTTTTAACAACCTAATTCTAAAAAAAATTATTTATAGCATTTTATCTTAAAAAAATAACATAAATAGGCGAGACCTTTGAGCGACTCTAAAAAGACCTTGAGAATGTCTACCTATATACTACGGCTAAATGAGGGTTATAAACCAGTGTGAGGAATTAGAATTAGTATTTTCAGTTGATAGTTAAGGTTTATGAATCAGATATATGGTTTTTTTTATCACGAACTAACATCAGCTATAATGCTAAAACTCTATTTAACCAAATGAATGAATCAATTTTGCGCCAAAATTCAAGATCAGAGTTCATGTTCACTCTGTAACCTTATTGTTAATAGTCGGCTCTTATATGTATAGCTACATCAGTGTGTAGTATCAATTGCTTTCTATTTTAAATATTAGTTGACAGATTTTTTTAAGAAGAAGCCAGTTCATTTTATAAAGGGCAAGTCATAAGTGACATTTAAATAAAATGGCGATCTTTTAACTTAAACCTTAATATTTTTATTGCTCAAAATATTTTTGAAACCTGTTGAATAATTTATTCACATAGCCTGAAGCAAGTAATTAGGGATTCAAAAGCCTCTTATATCTTAGAATCTTTTGTGACTCATGTTAGTACTTTACACAAGGCTAATCTATTCCAGTATTATTTATGGCTTACTTTGTTATCCCTGAGAATAATTTTGCTCTAAATAAAGACTGAATGAAAAATAGATTTCACACATTAGTGAAATCCTACCATGGTAAAAGTTATGGTTGATTAAAGTTGTAATCATGGAAAATTCGATTTTGACTCAGTAAATTAAATTTTGTCATGTCCATCAACAGACCGACAGACTGTGTATTTGTCAAGGATAAAGTTGTTGGCCTGTATGTGTATGCATGTACACTGTTTAAAGGAAACAAATGTTCAGTGCTTCCTTTTATCTTCATCCATTCTGTATCTATCTAATATCGATTCATGATAGAACATCATTATTAAAATATACTTTCTTTGAATAAAACAAAACAAAATGCAATCGTTAATGTTAGTTATTAAACATGTAATGTATTATACATTTCATTATTGAAATATCTGTCTATTAATCTTCATCAATTATAACAGTATCATACAGCTTTAAAATGTTATTTGTATTTTTCTATCAATCAATGTTGATGTATGACAAGGTTATTAAACTGATTTTATTTTTTCTTGACCAATTTAAGTAGTATTTATAAATAGAGATACATAGACTAAACTACTAGTTTTCTTCTCTTTTGTTTTTCTCTTCTCAACAGAAAACCCTAATAAATGTATACAAGTTTGAGTTTTTGAGGTCACTTTACCAAAGTAATGATGTGATCAATTGTACTTTCTAATGTGTTTTATTCTACAAGAAAATGATCAATATGTTTGTATATTTTAATGTATGTAAATTTGATACTTAATAAAGAATATTGCGTAAGAAATTGATCATAACCTTCGTTGCTATTGTAAATGTTTCTAAAAAGAACTAATTGATTAGAGAATTTAATTTTGGCGGCATTTTAAAATCATTATTTAAATAAACAAAAAGATTAAATTTCATTCATTTACTTTCTTTTTGATAAGTTTTAAATAGAATAAGATTAATAATGTATTATGGAAGAAGTTGAAATCATTTATCTATTTCAATGGATCTAATCAGAATTAAAAAGGCGAAATTTACAATGGAAAATAATGATTATAATTGTTCTATTAATAAATTATGGCTGATGACATTTTAATGTAGAGTTTATTGGATTTCATTGAAATTATTGACCAATGTGAGTTAGAACACTGTCAAAAATGTAGAAGAACTGGATGATCGTTTCGTTCGAGAATGAGACTTTTCAATAATGCTCATTTGCGTTACCGCTTTCGGGACTCGAACCTAGGACCTTGGGTTTCTTGAACGAACGCTTAACCTTTAGAATGTTGATCTGGCACTTTAGCTTAATAATAAGTAGCCTGATCAAAATAAAGCTAATTCAATGGATATAAGCTAAAAGTACTGTAAAAATATGAAGTTATATGGTAATGGAGATTATTTCACAGAACTTATTGTTACCGGGAAGGAGGTAAGTCACCAACGTTTTCTCCTGTCTATATACGTAAGGTGTGAAACACAAAGTGGTATTGGTTCCTGTAGCACAAAGTAGAACTGTTATTCATACTTTGCTTATTGTTACTATAGTTATAGAAATATTTTCTTCATCTACACAATCTGTAATTTACTTTTAAACAATTTGCTTTCCTATAAAAGCAGGTTTTGTGTAACTTAATCAAAAAGCCTTGTATATGCTTTTTAATTCTTGACTATAAACCTAACCTCAGAAGTAACTTACTGTTATCTCTAATATTATGTTATTATCATACGACGCATTCAATTTTGCCATCTAGGTATCATGAGAAAAGTTTTAATTCTTTGAAAAAGTCTTATGATTTAAGACTCATTATTGTGCTTTCTAACACCACGTAAATTTACTATTCTAAATTTGCTTGTTATTCCCCTTTATCGCAGTCATCAAACAACTAAAGTATTTAAAAGTAGTAGCTTATATATTTAGTTTGTTATAAATTGATAAGAAGAGATACAATATTATTCTGGTATTTCGTTTCACTAAACCTCTCATAGTTGCGCTACACATATACACATTGCCTATTGTCTTTCATTTGAATGTAAAATCTTTGCATTAAGTTTAACTGGATAAAATACACTTGTTTGATTATTATTAATGAAATTAAAAGCATTCTAATCAAACAATAAATTACCGATGAACCACAATTTGCATTTGCTTGAGTTCGGTCATATGCTCTTTTAATGTGTAGATTCAGATGTGTCACCTCTGAATCTCTAAAGCTCTACCACCGACGACCAAAAATTCATAGGCCATGGTGAATCGTTCTGTTCTTGAGGTCTGCATTTTCTCATCACTTATTCATTCGTGGAATGACAGTGAAGCTGCAGATGGAGGTTGTTCAAAGTATTTACGTTACATTTGATGAAAAATCTTAGAGCCTGCTGGTGTTTGAAGTTCAGAATAGAGTATTGAGATTAAGATTGGAATTGTTTCCTAGGATATTGGTGAACATTTTATACTATTAGAACTTCCAGTTTGTTTAAGGACATATATTTATAGAATTATTCAACTACTGTTACAACGAATGGTTATACAAATGAATTTGCAGTATAATTGAATTATCATGTCTTAGATTAATTTACATCTAAAAATTATCCATGTCAAATGTTTACTATTTTGTTAGTTGATTTTTGGATGTTAGTCCAATTCCAAAATCACACAAGGTTAACAGTGATAATTGTCTTATACCCGAGAGAGTTGAACTTCATCTGTTCCGACTTATAATGTATAACTAGGAAAGCTTATTTCAATGCTATTCGTTAGTGAGTACATAAGTATTATTAAATTAGTGCTACGATTTGATATCACCTAAAGTTCTAATCTAGAGAGCAACAGTTTTGTAATGACTCAAATGATTCCGAAGAAACACTAAAATCTAATCTATTCATGATTTATTGAGCTTAATTTTTTTTAAAAATTTCAACTCAGTAAAGTTAAAAGTTTGATTTTGGCAACCGTAATTTTAAACCGGTTTGCTAATTGTTTCATATATAGGTGTTACATTAATCCATTAACAACGGTTTCGGTGAAACTTTCACTCGGAACTAAGTAAATGGAAGCCATGAAATAACTTAGTCATAATTTATGGTAAATGATGAAGGATAACTCTGGGAATTTATGAATCAAAGTTTTCTGACCTTTGTCTGTTATTAGTAAATTACATCTAAAACCTTTGATAATTAATTATTTTATCGTAGATTTCCACCTATTTCGTTTATTATTGAAATATACAATGTCGCCTTTGAATTTTTTTGAATGTTGGAAACATTATTTATTTTCCTCCTCAAAAAGAAGCTAGTTTAAAAAAACCGTTAGGATCCTGATATAGTTGGCAAATGAATTCTTAATACATTTGTATTAGATGTTTGAATCTTCCAATTGATGTTTAGGACTGTAATTGACCAGCCTTTTTTCGGCATATGTGCATCTTGTGAGGACTGCCTTGACATTGTTCTTGTAAGATTTGTCTGCTGAAGTATTCGAGACAAAGGCGGGAATATAAATTGTAATATCCAGATATTGAGAGATGTGTTAAGAGTAATAGCGTTTAATTCAGTACACACCCGAATAATTTCACAATGAAATGTTGTTTAATACATCATGTTAAAGTCTTTATTATACGAAGTAGTTTTAACATCGCAAAACGTTGATATTGAATTATTTCTTTATTCCTATGTTCAGCTCAACCCCCGAACTATTACATTCACTCCTTGGAATATTACTGATTAGAAGATTTTACTCGGTGTTTATCTGCTAACATTCATCTGATTATGATAAAGAAAACAACACGAAACAAAGAAGACGGAAAGTTTTGATCAGTTTATAGTGTTTTTCTACATTACTTAAGGAGAATGACTTTTAGAAAAGACAAACTACCTAAAATTGACCAAACGTTTATGGATTAGTTTGACTAGATAACTCACCTCTTGTAATACATATACTATTATTCTTGTTTGTCGGATTAATTTGAACCATTTTCTATCATTCTGATTAGACGAATTAACAGTTGACAAATAGATTATGGATATTTATTTTAGGTGTTTCATTCGTTTCATTGTTTCAAGTGTTTACATATTGTTACTTATTTTTCATGCGAAACATTTATAGGCAACATCACCAGATGAAAAAGCACTTGTTATAGGTGCAGCAAAACTTGGCATTCTATTCATGGGTGCATCACTCAATGAGAATAACTCACATTCCAGAATATATCGTCTAGAATATGATCAGTGTTTACAAAATGGTTCTGGTCAATCAGAAATTATGGAATATTCCATTGATGCTATTCTAGAATTTGACTCATTTCGAAAACGTATGAGCATTATGGCTAAACATCCTGATGGAACGTATCATATTCATAGTAAAGGTGCTGAATCAAGTATTTTTGAGGTGAGATGGTTCAACTGATTTATTTCTACTTTATGTATTATCAATTTTCATCTCGATTCTTTTGAAGAAACCGTGGTTTTTCTACTGTGTGGAATATGTATTTTATTTTTTATGAATCGAACTGTTGCCTATCTATAGTGTACGACTAGAGTCTAATTCAATGTTACATTGATTTTCAACAGTAATCGAGAGCTAACATTTTAAACATTGATTGTTAATGACATATGTTTATTCTTCTTTGTAACTATCCAGCTGGTGTAATCTCTGTATGAATGTTCTCACTAGAACTCTACATCAAAGAAGTGATCAACTTTTAAATTCAATCATTAAGAAATCCAATCAATAATGTAATATGCCAACAGCAACTCATCATATAAGCCCTAAATAAGAATAGCCAGAAGGAACCAAAATAATGACAGCTCTGTAGTTGATAGGAATCTGATGTTTAAAAGTCTAGACTATAGTTATTATTTGAATGTGACAAACAAAATATTATTGATGATTAAACAAGATATTGATGGCTGTGAAACTAAGTTTTCATCTGCATAAATTTTTAGAAAATGTTGTTTATTGCTTGACTGATCACAAACATAATTCATCTATTTAATATTTATTTTGTGAAGATTAACTCAACTACTTGTTCCTTAGTTCTAACATTCATTATAATAATAACACAATATTAGTCATTTTTTATTGAAATCATGAGTGAATTGAAGCTAGACCACCATGGAAAGCCAGGAAGCACTGGACGGCCGTTTCATCCTAGTATGTGACTCCTCAGCAGTGGTGGTCTAGCTTCAATTGACTCATGATTTCAATCAAAAACTTAACAATCTCCGCAACCCGTAAACTGATAATTAGTCATTTTTGTTTAATCTGATTCTTATTAGATCAGTTTATTACTATTCCGGAATAATTCATTTAAATAAAGTAACATTTTAAAACTAATTTTATTGCAATCAAAATATAATCACTCATTGGTCTAATTCTAGTTTCGCTTCAAAATCATTCCAGTTCTAATTTAGTTCTCATCTGTCATTATTACAATTAAATTTTATGCAACATCAGTATCCGTTTAAATATTTAAATAGATATTTAATAACCTTACAGTCCATATTCTCCTTTGTAGCACCGGCCTCTGCATCAGTAGGCCTCAGTATACACAAAGAAAAAAAGTAAGATCCTCAAATATGATACGGAGATTACCAACCCAATCATACTTGATGGAGAAACTCTGGAAGATGTAGAATCTTTCACGTACCTGGGAAGCATCATCGATGAACAAGGAGGATCGGACGCAGAAGTAAAGGTGAGGATTGGCAAAGCAAGGACTGCATCCCTACATTTGAAAAAAACATATAGAATTCGAAACAAGTGTTAACCTATATCAAAGTGAGAATCTTCAATGCGCACATCAAAACAGTCCTACTGTAAGGAGCTGAAACTTGGAGAACTACAACAACCATAATCAAAAAGGTACAAGTATTTATAAGTAGTTGTCTACACAAAATACTCAATATTCGTTGGTCGGATACCATCAGTAACAGTCTTTTGTGGGAGAAGACAAATCAGCTTCCAGCTGAAGAGGAAATTAGGTTAAGACGCTGGAAGTGGATAGCACATACATTGGGGAAATCACCAAACTACATCATAAGGCAAGCCCTAAAGTGGGATCCTAAAGGAAAGCGGGAAAGAGAAAGGTCGAAGAACACACTACGTCGGAAAATGGATATAGATATGAAAAGGATGAATAGCAACAGAAAATAATTAGGAAGGATTGCCCAGGACAGGGTTGGATGAAAAGTGCTTATGGGCTCCTCCTCGAGGGGCAACAGGAGTTACTGAACTACTATTACTACTACTATTACCTATAACCTCCTTGAACTCATTCGTTATTTCCAACTAATGTTAAGAATATAAATATTACAATACTATGATTATTTTAATTTCGATAAACATTAAATAAACAAAATACATTGTAACATTTCGTTAAATTTGCTTGTTTCTTTCTTCTTTTTTTGTTTGTTGGAAAAATTAACCAGTATCTATAACACAACAATATAAAGAAATAGATCATGAGGTTAACTCTACCTCGAGACTTCAATAAACCAACACATTCCATACCATGAAATGAATTAAACACAATTCAATGTACTATTCATATATATAAGGAATAATAATAAAGAATTACAATACCTTGTCAATTATACTTTATTTTATAAAGAATACCAGCTTGTAACATATTATTGAACAAAATATTTAGTTGGATACTATAATAATATTAGTTAAAAGCTTTTTCTAATCAACTCTTGATATTCTAGATTCATGTTTAAAGTTATTTGATTATATATAAGCTAAAAAACTAATCTTTTAATTGTTTTCCATTGTATTCAAATGTTTACTATGTTAATCAGAATAATTCATATTTAAAATAGAATAATTTTTAAACTTAATAAAAATCATATTTGTACTACGTTAATACTAAGTGACTTGTAAAGTATTCAATTTATTTCTATAATAGTTATGAGGTTGAACAAGAATAATGTGAGGTGAGTGACTATTTTAATGTACATTATTCACTTACCGGAATGATCTAGTCTATCTATAAAAAAAAGCTAGATGACTGTCCGATATTTAAGCAATGTAGTTAATTTTTAAGAAACGTACCAATTTGTCAGGAAAAGATTAAATGTAGTTCGCTATGGAACCCAGGATGAATGTTTCTTTGTCAGACATAAGTACCTAGATTCCAATATGAGTGAATATTTCACAAACTCTGTTCCACTCCTTCGGTGATATCATTTTATGACGCTATTCAAATAACTTAAAAGCATTTAAAGCACTAGTACTGTTGTGTTCATTAAAATAAAAAGATCAAAAGAATAGCTACATACAAAAGCAAGTGTTTGATATATCTAGTCATGTCAATAAATTTGAACGAATTAACTGAAAATAAGATTTGTAAATTATAACGAATTCATTCGATTTCAAGGTATATATTGTCAGTTTTTAATGCTTGAAAACAAAAGTTCAGTTTATAATAATTGATACTAAGTTGGAATGAATGTACATTTAAATAATATAAACCATCTAAGTTGAATTTATGAGTCAATCTAAGTCAGATCACCGTTGAAAACGTAGAAGCACTGGATGGACATTTCTTTCTAGCATATGACTCCTTGGTCGATGTTAGACATTAAAACCGTTGTATGTCAGTTCAGTGGTCGCACCCAATATCGAAGGTCCTGGATTCGAGTCTCTTTAGCGCGGTCTCGTGGATGCGCACTGCTGAAGAGTTTTGTAGTGGGACGAAACAGACGTCCAGTGCTACCACGTTTCCTATGGTGGTCTAGCTTTAATCGACTCATAAATTCAGCCATTAAAATGCTTTATTATTAAATTGACTACGTGGATCATTATATGAGACGGAAATTTCATGTTATCTCTGGAATAACTTCAATAGTAGGGAAAAATTGTAATACTTTATCTAATTAAGAAATACGACAATTAACAATGTTAAAAGAAGGATATTTGTTTGAATATTTACATTGTTAAGTTCAAAACAATTGTATATATCGTCTTTTCATTACAAGTTTTCAAAAACTTAGGATCATTTTAACAGAAGGATAAATTTTAATAAACCTAATGTTAAATGATGAGTTTAGCATTCATTATGATTTAAACATATACTTATCAAGACATATATTCACATTGTTGATAATATAAGTATATTTACAAGTGTGTGTTTGTGCCTGAAATAGAAATAAATAAAGAAAATATATTTCAATTCCGATGTCGATCTGCTGAAAGGAACCGATCTATTCCTTTGGGAATACAAGCTGGTTTTACAGAATCATTTTTAATATCATTTATTACCTTGTTGTTATGATATATTTGTTGAAAACTAGTAACTTATTGAATATGCATATTCTTGGTTATTCCAGTCAATTTGTAGCCTACTGATAATGGGCCCTTATAATCTAAAAGTCGTCTAATATGTTGGGACCTCTAGTTCGACGAATTCGTCTGTGGTTATTACAAGAGGATTGTCATCTCTTCTTATAATTTGGAATAATCAGTGATCGATGTCATTTAAATTCCACTACGTTTATTTTTCAAACACTAACCAATATATCCGTTAACATAACCACGAAAGCTGATCAATGTCTGTAATAATCTTCTCAATAAGTCAATCAGGTCCCATTTATCTCATTTTCCGCATATTAGCTATGAATCTTTCAACCTAATTAAGATTTGAGCGGATTGTGTTAGTCTTCCATGCACATTGTTTTAGAATAGTTGGTAACTGGAATGTAGATAGGTAACAGTTGAAGTGTTCCATATAGTGTTCTTTCCATCGATCTAATATCATAAAATAAGGGTAAATTATGGTTCCGTCTCTTCCTGGCATATTTTTACAAATGGCTGACGCTTTGCTACCTATCTCCTCGACGAGTCGGATCAGTTGTCTACTGTTGTTTAACTTCTCTGTCATTTTTATTTCTCTTGACTTCATCTCCCAAAACCGCTCAAAATCACTGCATAAACATTTTATTGGTTTACATTTGAATTTCCGTCGCTCGTCATCGTCCTTTGAGCCTATCAAGATGAGTTTTCGTGCAACTAACAATTCGGTAGAATATTTCGAAACCCATTTATCCTTCGCAACCTTACTCTCAGAGCTTAGATATCGTTTCTGCATTCTCAGCTGTATCGGCATCACGCAAGCTTCAATAAAGTTGCATAAATATGTATACATTCAATAGTTCGTAGTTTCAAAAAGGAATAAAAGTATTAAGCTCTCGTTATTAGTACAATATCAAGCAGTAAAGGAGTTCAACACGAAAATGCAAAGGAATCGACAATAAATCTCAAATACTGTTTGTATAATAACGTTTAATCAAGAGAGTAAAAATGGCTGAAATATCATGGACTGAAGAAAAATGCTTTCAATACTTCAGAATATTAGCAGCCCATGAAATAAAAATGATTTATACCAAATCAGAATTATCTAAAACAAAGCAGTTAAGCTAATGAAAAGAGTATATGATGAATTTCATTTTCTCTGGTACTGTTCGTGCACAACTTTAATTTATCCCATATTTATCATTCATTCAGTCACAACGTAGAACCTGCACGTATGTACATCGGTCCAAGTTGCCATACTGCATTAGCATACTGAGATGAAATTGACAGTCCAAACCCCCTGTAATCAACTGATGATCATTTGGTAATTTTGTATATAAAACCCAAAGATAATTGAAAATCTCAAAAGGATCACTTCAATCAATTTTAATGAGAGGCAATACACAAGGTTTGTATCATAAATGAATAGCTATAAATAGTGACGAAATATAACTAACAGAATTTCGATTAATATTGAGATTCTGATCTAATCAATGTGAACAATAGTAACCTAACAAATATTACAACTTATTGGTAATCAAAAATATTTTATAATTTATTTCTCTTCTCTAGATAAGTAACTTATCAACTGCGGATTTGAAACAGTTAGCCAGTAAATATGTTACACAGTTTGCTATCAATGGACTACGTACCTTAGTTTATGCAAGTCGTCAAGTGGATTCTAGAGAGTATTACCATTTGCTCAATGAATTTTATCATGCCAATTCATTATTTGGCTCTGAACGTAGTGATGCATTAAAAATAATTTATTCAAAAATTGAATATAATTTAACATTGGTTAGTGTTACTGGAGTTGAAGATAAACTTCAACCTGGTGTTCATGAATGTTTAAAAAATCTCCGTGATGCTGGAATTCAAGTAAGAAAATCTTCAATGTATTATTTTTCTATACACATGCATTATAAGTAACTAATAGTAAACATTTTAATAGAATCATTTACACAACAGATCGATTGTTATTAGCAGTGAAGTTTAAGTTGCATTTGGGACTCATACCTAGATCCCAGTGTCAATGAATATTCCACAGCTCGAACCCACTACCTTTATCTTCAAATAGACAATTCCTTGTCCACTGAACTATTAAGCTCAGATAGTCGTCAGATTGTGCAACGAGTATGAATGTTAATTTGAATAGCATTGGTTTGAATAATTTTATTGTTGATTGTAAGAAGGAACATTTCTAAAACCTGATAACCAGTAAAAGTTATTTTAACCTTTCAAAATCTGCTTTAGGAGTCCAGTGTTCTTCATTTAAAGCGGCTTTGCCACCTCAGAAGGAAAGCTACGATTCTCTAAAAACCACTAGATCTGTTTGACTTCTGAAAACCAGATCAAAAATCAATATAAGTACACTGCATGTTGAGCAGTGTTGTAGACCTGGAGGATCATTCAAAACGTATCGGAAACGAGAAGATATAACCTTATAGTGTGTGAATTAAGCGGAACTCATCGGATACAATCTGAACAATTCAATTAGCCTTGGAAGCGGCATTTTTATATTCTGATCACGAAGAAGATGATATTTCTACATACACGGGGAGTTGTGTTGATGCTGGTCAAAGAAGCCTGAAAATAGCTTGTATGGTGTGAAGCTCATGGCTTGAAGCTCATCAATCATCCTCCGACAAAGAGAAGGAATAAATTACATTAAATGTCATTCAGTTCTACGCGCCCACCAATAATAGTAGCAAAGATAATAAATATTGCTTATATGGCATGCTGAAGTCTATCGTAGAGAATTGCTCATGAAAAGACTCTAATATTCTGATGAGAGACATGAACGAAGAAGTCGAATAAAGGATAACACAGAGTATGAAGATACTATGGCAGTATTTTCATGCACGAATGATTTAACAGAGCAATATGAGTTTCACCGGACCCCAGCATTTTATTTTAACATTTACTTGAACACATAAACATTGGTACAACAGGGCACCAAATACATATGTGTCACACAATAAAAATGAGGCTAGTAGCAGTTATCATTGATTTGTGTGGGGGCTGTGGTGCTGCCTGGATGTCCAAATCGAAACAGGAGGACCATATCGAACTTATCCTCACTGATCAAAATTTCAGAAGGTTAATGGGAGATGAAACGAGAAAGAAATTAGCTAATGTACCCTCATATCGATGATGGCTAAGCTGAAGCTGAAGCGACTATTTACAAAAAGCCGTCTATTTGAAGTACTCTATATCCGTTGACCAGACACCATCATCAATAACCTACTGTAGCAGAGGTTAAACCAGCTACCAAGTGAAGAGGAAAGCACGAAAGGATGTCTTAGGTGGATAAATCACATTTCACAAAAAAACATCAAACTTCATCACAGTGTATAGTCTTAACTTGAAATGTTCAATGCAAAAGGAAAGAGGCGAACCAAAAGACAAATTTCTCAAATATCAAAAGCAATTTTTCAATGTTACATCAAACGTCTCTATGAAATTTAGTTATGAGTTAATTGTTTAACTGAATAATTCCAAAGATAAATTCAATTTTGGGTTATATAATTTTCATGTTCAAAATCAGCTAGTAACACAATTGTTCGTCTGTCATGTTCTTTTTGTTGTTGTTGTTGTTACCAAGTCAAATTTTATCCTCCCATTTCTTTTTTTTTAATTTCATTTTATTGATTATTTATTAATTATTGTTATTTTGAATTTTAGATTTGGGTATTAACTGGAGATAAAGAAGAGACAGCAATTACTGTTAGTCGTTCTGCTGGACATTTTACACCAAATATGAGTTTAATTCATTTAACAAATTGTGATGATTTATTTACTTTTGCATATAAATTATTTAATTATTTAGAAAAATTAAAAATTTATCGTGAAAAAAGAAATTTAAATAAGAAAATAAAATTATTATTAAAAAAACCAATTCATTTAATCAAAATGAAAACAAATTTAAAGTGTCGTATGAAAGTTGAGTTTAATTATCAAAATAATTCTATTGATGAAATGGATTTATATAATAATAAACATCTGTTTACAAATAGATCATTACAACATGAATTAGATCGACCACGTTATAGACATTCTAAAAGACCTGGTTCTTCTGGTGAACCAATGGCTCTTGTAATAGATGGTAAAAGTTTACGATATGCATTGCATGTAAGTTTTGTTCATTTTTTCTTTTGGTAACAAGATATTATGATTAACTTGTAATGATGAGAGAGGTTTTATAATCATCAAATGTATTATTGTGAATGCTTATCGTAGGTTAAATAGTTTTTACTAAATAATTTTAAATATAAAGATGGATAGTGGCTAGCTGTGGAATTTAGAATGCGCGTTTCGTCCTATTTGAGACTCTTCAGCTTGTGGATTAAGACTCTATCGAGGCAATATGCACAGTATGCACATATGCCAATAAGAGACTGATGAATTGCAGTCCTAAATAACAATGGGAAGATTCAATTGAACAATACCAAGTAAATTTTAACCTCACTCCATCACACAAGCAAGAGGTTATCAGGACTCAGTAGCTAAGTCAATAACGCGATGGCGTTTGAAACTAAACGGTACTGAGTTCAAGTCTCAGAGTGAACGCCAACTCTGAGATGCAGGTACATCCAGCTGACGAGTCTCGAATAAGACGAAACGTACATCCTGAATTCTATTGCTAACCACTATCCATCTTTGCATGTAATGCTTGCGAATTAAGGCTTTATTGAAGCAATCCGTACAGTATGCACATATGCCAATAAGAGACTAATCAATCGCAGTCCTGAATAACAATGGGGATTTACAATTAAAGCAATGCCAAGTGAATTTAACTAACTTTAGGTTTAAAAATGATTATATTTATCTGAATTTAAGCAACAGAGTAGTATCTTCAACCCTAACACAGACGAAGTAGTGTGCGGGATAAGTGAATATACCTCTATAATGAATGTGACTAAAAACAAAATGTATTCCAGATTACTTAATATTCAATAATTATTGACAGACAGATGTCACAGTGTATTTCTATATGTATTCATTTGGGCTTGTTGTTAAGCGATTACTAAAATACCCCACATTAGTATAGTACCATGACTATCATAGTTTACTTTGGATTACGAACAGTGACTCACCTGTATAGTACTTGGGAAAGTAATTCAAGAATAAAACCTCTAAATATTTGAAAGAGATAACGCTTAGTAAGTATAAGTATGTGACAACTAAATAAGCACTGAACAGAAAGGATAGATGTCAAAATTTCTTTATAGATGGTGGGTTAATAAAATATAAATGCATCTGTTAGAAAATCCTTGATATGTTTAGCAAAAAACTATGAAACCACATCGCGACTACATAAGGTAGCAAAATATAAAAAATCGGGTCACTCGAACCACTAGATTATAACTCAGAAGCTCAGTAGTATTGTGCTCTCCATGAAATCTAAATGTCCTGCATTAGAACCTATGTATGGTCGTTGTTATGCATCGCCAAGAAGTTCTAAACGAGAACGAAGTCGTTATTTACTGCTTTGTGGTTTCAAGTTACATTTTATCTGATATTATTTATATACTTTGTGATGAATACATAATCCAATATACAATCTCTTAACAACACTATCCAGTATAAGAGTAAGTGTTAATTAGTGAAATATGGAAAATAAAGTTAATAGTAGCTTGTTACCATATTGTCCTAATATAATTTTAACGTTTGTATATAGTGATATCTCTTTAAACTTTCTACATCAAGTTTACTGAAATGTTTTGACTTTTGAAAGAAAAATATGCCAAATTGTGGCACTGAAAACTGATCTATGGAAATCAATCAACACTAGAAAAGACTTGACATATATGAAATCTATCACTATTCGGTGATTAGTAAGTTGCCGGAAGGGGTTTTGTGGAGCTTTTAGAAATTTCAATAGTTGAAATCATGAGTCAATTGAAGCTAGACCACCACCTCACTAGTGACAGACTTCAAGAGATATCAATTCACTGAAGACAATAGTGTATGGTGGCGCAATTTAGTTAATTGGTTGAAATTGGACATTGACATCGTTGGATACCGGCCGGCTCAGTGGTCTGATGGTTAGACGCTCGCGCGCAAGACTGGCAGGTCCTGGATTCGAATCTCGTGGGGGCGCGATCGTACTGCTGAGGAGTTCCATGCTAGGACAAAACGGCCGTACAGTGCTTCCAGGTTTTTAGTGTTGGTCTAGCTTCAAATGACTCATGATTTCAACTATTGAGATTAATAAATTGTAGAGGACTACTATAATTTGTAAGCGATTACATTTTCCCGCTGATGATGTAAACGATTATAATTTATTAGTCCGTAAAGGTAAATGTGCATTGTGAGCTGGTTGCCTCGACATAACCTTTAAATCACAAGTTTTGATAAAGTAGAATTATGGCTAACAATAAAATGTACCTTCATGTTTTAAGAAAGATAATAAGTCTATAGTTCTACCATTCAGATAGCTGTTTTGGCATAATTAATCTAAACGACTGTTGAGGACGTTAGATCCCCAGAACTCACCTGGAAAAGGTCCTAATTTTGTAGTTCTATTCTGAAAATTTGAATTTTATGTTTTGCGCCAAGAGACGCCTAAATGACCTACAGATAATATTTTGCACTCGGAAATCCTTGACTATCATTGGTTGACGGATTTTTTTAGTACGATATTTTGTGGCTCTCCCAAGGGCGTTTCTATCATTGTATAAATAAGCCTGATTTGTGTGCTCAGTGACCTCGGATTTTCTGGGTGCTTGTAGAATACATTCTCTGCGCCTCATCAAGACATCTTGATCTAGTGAGCAAGGCCAGGGATAACGGATTAGAATAGTCTATCGTGTCACTGTATCTTCGACCTTCGTTCCGTTTACCAAGTAAAGTGAACTCGTAATAGCATTCAAGCACATCAATGATAGAAACATTTACTGTCATAAAATGTTGTTATTGATATTTGACACGGTGAAACCACAAGTGATTATTTTCTTTAATATGTTTAAGCTAATTATAAAGCAAACTTCCAATCTATTCGAATGCCTCGTAAGTGTTTATGAAAGTTCAAATAAGAAGCCTACATTTAGGCATCAAACATTCGATTAGTTTCGATATTAACTGGTTAGAACCAATCAATTGGGAGGCCTAGAACCTATGATTTTTGTCACTCAGCATTTGTTAACAATGGGTTTCTGTATTATTCAACCAACTATTTCTCCTCGTAAGACTCGAACCAATGTCACAGTCACAAACGTTAACACAGTGCTATTACGGCCTCTCCTGATCTCCTGTAAGATTCTAATTTTTAAAATGATTTGTTGTTGAGTAGTAAGCGCTTCATATTTATTTAGCACTTATAATATAATCAGCACTAAGAAGTAGCTAGTTTTGATTTTTTTGATCACTCAGTGATTAATCATTATGTTATCAGTTTGCTTTTTTAATACAAAACCCATTTGATTTTACTCTGATCATGAGATTAAACATTGTGTTCTGACTGTCGAAACTCACATATGTGTATTGGAACGGTCATTTTTTAAGGTTCATCAGTTGTGAAGTGCATGATAAAGTTCATAAACGTTCATATTAGGTCACAGCAAAAGTTGATAAATGAAGAAATATTATATTTTTATAACTTAAGTATTTGAAGTATAGTTTATATTATTTTAATATATTTTCATCACGGAATAACATAAACTTCGTAAACATTAAAAAACCTTCAAGCACTGAATAGTAACATAGTTTAAGTTTGTAAATTTTCACAACAAACCATGAATTGTACCAATAATCATCAGTTCCTGTGATGAACCCAATATCTTTGTACTATCAATATAATACACATTGGAATTAAAAGCGGTAGAATAACTAATAGGACTGTTTGTAATTGATAAAATAAAAAAATCCTCAGAACTGTTTAAAATGTACTCCTAGCAGTCACTGAGATGAGTCATTACGTGAAGACAGAAAAAGACTGTAAACATGAATTATGTTCGATGTGGAAAAAAAACGGTTTATTATATCACCAGTGATTGAAAAACTATGTAAAAATTTCACCGAAGTATTTATGATCGTCTTATCCGGTCAACAGGTGAATTCGAATATATTCAACTGGGCATTGGTCCATATGAACTAAATAATAACCAAATACACGTAAACAATTTACGACATCGATTGATTAACAATATAATAAATTATTGGGTTGCCTAGTTTCTTCATCTCGATAATAATACACAGTACAAACTCTACCATTCACTGATTTGAGTTTTAACTTTAGAAACTAATAATCAATATTTTTCAGCAGATAAGATACTACTGTTGGTCAACATTTACTGGTTTTTGATTGTAAACTAATTGGTATAAAAAGATTTATGGTTTTGATCATTATAAAATTATTTACATTACTTTAATGATAAATTCTATTTCCAATTTTTATAATTGTCATCTTTATAGCCTACTCTACGAAAAACATTTTTGGATTTATGCTTACATTTAACTACTGTATTATGTTGTCGTATGACACCACTACAGAAAGCATCAGTTGTACAACTTGTACGTTCAGGTTTCTCAGAATTTGGTACACCTCCGATTACAGCTGCAATAGGTGATGGTGGTAATGATGTTGCAATGTTATTACAAGCTAATATTGGCATTGGTATACATGGTAAAGAAGGAAAAGAAGCTGTGCGGGCTTCGGATTATGCCATTCCACAGTTTAAGTAAGTCACCTAAGTATTTGTTGTTAAACAATACATCTAGAATTGTTACAGTCATCATTAAATTTAAAAAGAATTATGAAATTTAGATTTGTTTTGCCATATAAGTTTAAGAGTGATATGCTTATTTATTAATATTATTACCCAACCGAAGTTAGACAACAATAGAAAAGCAAGAAGCACCCGACAGCTTTTTCATTCTCATATGGGACTTCTCAGTGTGCACACTCAATCGAACCATGGTGGATTGAACCTAGGACCCCCAAAGTCTATCTGAGTACCGCAAGTTGATTTAAACTAGATATGTTGACAACTTGTTGCTGGTCATATGTTTTGAAGTTTAAGTCCTCGCCACCAGACCTAAATACCCTAAATTCGACCACCTGTGATGAGGTTGTGTTTGCGCACTGCCACTGAAGAGTCCCATACTAGGACAAAACGATTGTCAAGTGCTCCGTGATTTTCAGTGACTGTCTGACTTAGGTTGATTTGTGATGTCAATAACATTCCACAATCTCGACAAGCTCCCATACTGATATTAGTTCAATCGATAAAATTATAATTAAATAATTTTATGTAAAAGTGTTTGAATCAGTTAAGTGTGTGTTATAATTATCCAATTTCAGATAAAAGAGCACTATACTTCTTAATCAACGTATTACATGTTTAAACTAACAAATACTAATCAAAAAGTGGAATAATTCCTGTCAAATCATTTACAAAATATATAATATGTTGTTCGATTTGACTGATTTTCAATGGAAACACTGATTATATGGATTCTAGTTATTTTAAAAACGATTTGCGGTTGCCACCATACTGTAGACGATTTTAGAAATAAGAGTTTCTGAAGCAAAAGTTTTCTTGGATGCTATTTATGACCTCATAACTCAATTAATTAAACAATTAAATAGTGTTGAAGGTAGTCATACGTGGTTAGTTATACATGAATATGTGCTATTTAGCTATCTATCTGATCCAGTGATATACTTTCTGGAATATTTTTCAATCAGAAATGTGTCTTTCATTGTAAAACTGTATAGGACAGTTTGAAAAAGTTTATCATGACATAGAAGTATTGTTCACTTAAGGTTTTCAATTGAATGTTGAGAATAGGAATTATGAAGTATTGATCATAGTTGATTGGAAATATGGATCAAATGACATAACATAGGATACAAAACGTTTGGTGAAGAATATAAAACATTAAATGACCTAAAGATACGTCATTTTTGCAATAATCATATGAGAACTCATTATAAAACTAAATTTTGGAAATATTCGAATTCACAACGAACTCAGTAATTTATATCAAGTGTAGTGTTCCCAATAATAATTAAAATAATTCAGTACTTAGTTGTTTAAAACACTGTGGTTTACGACTAAAGTAATTGACTCTCGATCATCAGATTTTATTATATCCCGACGAGAATAATGAATGGTAACTTTTGGGATCCATTTATGAATTAATACTAAACGTATATTTTTATCGTGTAATTGATGAATATCTTAACTATTCATATTCGTGCTGCCCTTATCATAAGCTTTATTTTGATCTATGAACTGTTATTATACGATTTAGCATTCTTAAGTTATACTTAGTCTATCAATTACTACTTCCCAGATTCACAGCCACATTTGACTGAATCTTGTACAAATGTTGTCTGCTATTTTATGGTATGATGTGGTTTATGTGATTGATATATATAAAGCCAGTATGTTTGAAATAAATGATTGATATCACAGAGGCTGAGATTGGTGTTTTGAACTTAACAGACTGGTTAAGGCGGTAAGCAGGACCAATAGGGAGTCTAGACTGCTTGTACGTGTTTTATGTGTCGTTGATCCGATCGATAATTCACTGTTCTTTAATTGGCTGTATCATCACGTCATATAATAGTAGAACACTTAGGCAACAAGTTATAACAATTGGCGACGGGGTGAAAAACAAAGAATCAAGGGCACAAAACTACAAGTTATAACAGATTTCAGCTTCGAAGTTCACTCTATCTAATTCCATTTAAACAATTAGATAGTATTATAGACAAAAATGGATGGTGGCTATTGGTGGAATCCGCTGCGTAAGAATAGACTGTGAAAGGAAGTAGTATGCTATATAGGTTATTCTCTTAGATACTGATATGTATTAGTACCTACTGTCTAAATGGATACCTGGAAATTTTAAAAATTGGTTCTGTGTTCTGATGAAGTTAATTGATTTATAAGTGATTCTAAATTATCGTTTATAATAGAGGAATAACAAGAGTTAGATAATGTTAAAAAAGAAATAAATTGTTAAGAGAATTATTTACAGTTGAATGGTAAAATCCTGATAGGTTACCTGTAGGGATTTGATTTTAATTCACTACTTGGTCAGGGTTGGTAATATAAATGAAAAGTTCTAAATTGTAATGAAACAGCTATTCATTATTGGTTGTTTCTAATGTTTCTAATCATTCACAATTGCTATTTAGATTAACTTTTTAAAACACTAATTCGGTTGAATATGTGTGGAAACTAAAATCTTTAATAATTTAATTCAACTCTAGACTGTTTTCATAAAACTGTGAATGACGTAACAGAATGATTTGATATTGTAAGTAACGAACTGATTGCAGTTTACAGCATGATGGGATAACGAATATTGCTGAACCCATTCAACAGTATTAAATGCTCGGCGAAGTCAAAGAAAATACTATTCAAAATGTTTTTTGGTTTCATAACATCAATTCTTGTAAATATTTTCTATTAACTTACAATCACATCAGTAAATCGGTTTAGTTCAATAAAAAAAACAGACAATTAAGCCATATTAATTTGAACATTTAGCAAAGATATATCTATCTCGTCGAATGGTAATCTGAAATGTTGATATCCAACTAAGTACGTTATTCTACCTACCACTAAACTGTTTAAAAAAGAAATCTGATATTTTATTACACTATATTAGACAACCATTTAAAATTAATAAATCAATTATAACATACAGTATAAGAATGAATAAAATCTGATACATAAAGGCTTTATTCATCAAAATGGAGAGTCAACAACATACTGTTTTATCTGTCTATCTAACTGGTTAAAATCATGATTCATTTGAAGCTAGATCACCACAGATAACCTGAAAGCACTGGAACGCCGTGTTGTCCTAGTATGGGACTCCTCAGCAGTACGATCGCGCCCCCCACGAGATTCGAAACCAGGACCTTTCGGTCTCGCGCCGGGCGCTTAACCAACTAGACCACTGACACGGCCGGTATATAACGGTGTTAATGTCTAACTTCAACGAAGTTGCGCCATCATACACTATTGTCTTCAGTGAGTTGATATCTCACAACAGACCTGGTTGAACTCCACTATCTATCTAATCTATCCATAAATATATTTATGTACATTTCCATCCATTTTTGGCCACAAAAATAACTGTCACCCTTTTTTTATTTTCGCTAAATACAACTTATCACTGATCTATCCGACTGATAACTAGTATAAATTCAGCTTACTAATAAATAGAAGGTAATAAAACTTAATAACCAAGATATTTTCATTCCTACTGCAAAATTAGGAACTTATGTTCAAAGAAACACTCGAACAAATTATTCCAAATATCTATCCTTTGGTTATCATTCAAAGAAGTATTAAAAGATAATTATGAGTTATTATTTTGGTCATTTCTGTTCTAGGACTCTAATACTGAAATCTCAAATAAACAATTGCTTTCTTGTAATTAAATGCTATTTCTTTAGATAACTATTCAAGGTAGACATCTATGATATCAAATACTTATGATTTTCTAAATAAGTTTTTTACAAAAGCTGTTAAATTATACCAAACCTAATGGTTTTATATCTTTTAAATTTTGTTTGTTTATTTATTTTATTATAAACATTACAGACATCTACAACGTCTTCTTTTAGTTCATGGACATCGAGCTAATCATCGAATATGTTTAACAATGGATTTATTCTATTATAAATGTGTTGCATTTGTAACAACACAACTACTTTATACATTTTATAGTGGTTTCTCAGCTGTAGCAACATTTGAAACTGTTTTATTTTCAATTTACAATTTAACTGTAACATCGTTAATGTGTTTACTTTTTGGCTTATTTGAACGTCATTTACCTGATGATATATTAAATGCGAATCCATATCTTTATAGAAAGGTAAGTTTTAAATAAACATACTGTCAGATTCATTATTATTTTTTATTTATAATGATATAGATTACTTAATTTCATCAGCATACAAAGAACGAAAGAACTTTAGATGACTGTTTCAAATGTTTTTGAATTTTTTCGAAGCACAAGTTTATGACTACACCTAATATCTGACCTATATGTTCAAAGTCCAAGATTGGGCTGAATACGTAATATGCAAGGTTTTTGATAGCTGACCTTTGTCATTGATTACTTTTTCTTTTAGTTTACTATTTTGTTATATGTTCCCTAGGTCATTATTATCACCAAATAAATACGAAATTTTGGCTTCTTTTGAGAATAAAAGTCTCATTGTTGAGATCTATCTTCTGCTTATATCACACTGTGACTTTGGAAAATCTATGATTGAAGCGTTTCCATTACTTAGTGGAAAGACTTGGTGAGAACGAATGAAAAGGGAGAAATTCGTTCCATGCCTAATCGGCTGCGAGTAACATACATTATATTTAAGTAATGTTCAATCTAAATATAATTAAGTTATTCGATAGTTCACTAATAAACAAACCAGGACATGAAAAAATATGTTGTCACTATTTATGGAAGCAAACCGAAAAGGAATGATTAAGGCTTAAATCACTGAAATTTAAATAATAATCTCAATAAGAACGAGAAAATGAATGACTCAGGGGAAGATAAAGAAGAGATATATCTGTGTTACCGCATCCCATTTTCACTGTTATTTAAAGTTTTCAGCTATACAGTAGGAAAATGCCAAAAATACAACAATTCGATCCAGTATCGGTTACAACTACACTATATTTTTTCATGGGAAGTCGCCTTTACTTTCCCATAGTTCGCCTTCATTTATTCTTTGTTGTCTGCTTAAAATAAATTCCAGTTATATCACTGACCCCAAACAGGAAGTTAACGTATCTTTCAACATAGCTGAAACTGAAAATTAAAGACTTCATTTTTCTTTTTATCACCCCTGACCCTCCAACTTACATCGAAGCTAACTACCATTTCGCTCCATATTAGGTGGTGAAAAGATATCAGTAACCTGCATCCCTTTTATCCTGGTTGATAATCCATTTGTCATATCTATTTGGCACTAGTTCCTTATCTTCAGAGTTATTAACTTAATGAGAGCATCCTTAGTGACCAGGGCACTGAAGAAATCCATGGTCAAATAATTACAAATTGTGCACATCCTCAACTTTCGCTACAAATATTTCCCAGCCATGATATAATACAAAGAGAGCCACTAAATAGTTGACTCGTTTTTTACTAAACAGTTGGAAAATTCACTAGTTATTATTTAAGTGGCGACATGTATTTAACTGAGCACCCCAGTATTTCAAGACATTGAATTAGATGATCCCATCAAAAAGACATTAATAACGAAAATTTTCTTTCTTTATTTTCAATCGAAAACTAATACTACAAATAGCTTAAACATCAAGCAAACTTGAGATCATGGTATGTTTGTCTATGGATATTAGATGGAATATGGCATGGTACTATAATATTTTATGGTACTACTTATTTTCTTAATGGTGGAAATCACTTCTCCGAAGGTACATTTTATGATTCACGTGGAAATATACAACAATTATTTGATATGAGTCTTTATGGATGTGCAACTTATTTGTTTGTATGGTTTTCAGTAAGCCTACGTATTTTCATTGCATCACGCGATTACACTATTATAATATTTGGAGGAATTCTATTTACTTTGATTGGGAATATAGGAATATTAATTTTATTACAAGTAAGCAGATTGTTTTATTTTTTTCATAATAAAGCTGAGTATATATATATATATATATATATATATATATATTAAAGCATGTTTTTATATTATTCTTACCTCAGTTATGGCCAAAGTATGATACACATAAAGAAACATCACAAGCATATCAGATAGAAAGATTTAAGGGGCTTTATTTTAAAAGAAGTCTTGATTAATCTTATAATTTTAATAAGTCATCGAGATATCTGGTAACTATAAACTTTATTACTTCCACTTATCACTATCATATATCTGATATCTGGTATAAATCACCTAGTAAATGTTTATACTTTTTTTTCATTTACGAATTCAATATCTTTGATAATGTGAGTTCAGTCACTAAAACTATTAGTTATGTTAATTATCATGATTGATGCTAAACACAAAACAAGTTGAGAGTTAAATCCTGTACAGATACGGATTTACTGTCATAACTATTAGATCATCGAATAGAAGTTAATGCAATGAAGTGAAACATCTTCCATATTTAAAAAGTGAATATAGAATAAGACGAAAAAGGAAAAAAAACACAAACTCTACAAGAAAGATTTTTATTTCTCAAAAAGAGATATATGAGTAAAAGCTGCTAATTACTCAGCCTTTAAAACTATCTAATAAAGACAGATAAGGAAGAATAAAACCCAATTGTTTATTGCACATTTACAAAAAACATAGTTCAATTTAAGGGACAATCTACCATGCTAAGGGACCTTCAAGAAATGAAGAGTAATCTTTAACATACTGTTGAATAATATGCATTATGGTTCAAAATAGAATACGGTACATTGCTGTTACGAAGCTGATTAAGTTGGGAGACATGAATTAAGACGATTATCGGTCAAACCGTTTCCATTAACATTTTATATGTACCATTATCAATCGTATATAGAAATATCGTTAGCATGATAACATAGCATCAAAGTATAGTTTAGATGAAATGGAACATTCAATGTACTTTATATAAATTTTACGGAATCTACCATAACATATTTTGTTTATCAGGCTAAATAGTAAACAATTCTTACCAGTGAAGTATCATTTATGCATCATAAATTCTCACAATCCATCTTTGTGTTATCGATTGCAGAAATAATTTAAAATCTTTTATTTCAAATTATTTACATTCTGAAAACGAATTACTATTAACAATTTAAGTATTTGTTTTTAATTTAGAATACAACAACACTTGACAACATCAATTTTCGCAGTTATACGAAATTATGCCGAAGTCCAACATTCTGGTTTGCTCTACCGCTTATCTTATGTGTAGCTAATCTGCCATCTTTATTGTGGAGAATCATCTCGGACGCATGGTGGAATCTACAAATTTACTTAAGTAGTATACCTCATAAGCAGATTCGTCGAAAATATCGTCGATCACCAATGATCTGGTTTTTGGCATTAACAACTAATTACCTGACTGATTCATATGATATATTTCATCGAAATGAAATTAAACAAGATAATTCATAACCTAGGCGAAGCGTATAGTTTCACAATACTATCAGTCGAGTAAGTCTAGTAGCATTTGTATAAATGAAAAATGTATAAGAAAGGAAGCGGCTATTAGAAAAAAACAATAACAAAGAGAATAAATAAAAATTGTTAGATATGATTTAGCTGTCAAATTTTTTAACCATAAACACTTTATTAACTAGTTAAATCACATCATAAGGAACGTGAAATTTAATACTGTTGAAAGGTTGATTATTGACTGTTTTGCAAATAGTCGTAAATAAATGCCTAATGAGTATCCTACATTGAATCTGGTCTTGGCAGTTTTATTGGACACCATCATTTGAGGGTGAGTTAGCATTCTTGTCCTATCCCAGCACACGCGATGTTGGACACTTTTCCATCCTCCAGATAGACAGATTATTAGTTGCAAGTTTATCTACATCTTTCTAAGGTCAAATATATTGCTGCTTCCAATTATTATAAACTATTTCAGTGTTGTTTCTTTGATAAAAAATATTTAAAAGTCTTTAGTCTAACACTCATTCAATTTTGTCATACCGAGAGTTTTGCAAACGAAACTACAACATACTGCTATGACAATGGAGATCAAGTTGTTAACTGTTAGCTTTTTGTAAAAAAAACTCGGAAGGTTTGACCCGCAAGCATTTATTATATGAATGATTTTGTTGAGGATACCTATATCTGAATCTTAAATCGTTAAGGTTCGATATAAACAACATCATTATATATAGAAACTGCGATAACAATTATAAAATTATAAGATGACATAATAAGAAATGTTCAGATAATTGGACCATGAAACGTATAGTTGAGAGAAAATAAAGTGGTAGGAGGGTGTGAAGAAAAATAATAAACGAAGAGAAAGTTAGAAAAGGAATAAATAAATAAATTCATTTATTAATTAAGGCCAAGGGAGAGATAAGGGAGTTACAAATTTCTTCTGAACACAAAGACTTGGCTTGTTGGTTCGGATTCCTATAGCTTCTACTATGTGTAAGAGACGAGATCGAACACCATAAGGAAAACTAGTGGGAATCCGATAAATAACTTTGAACGACTTGTTTCTGTCTACTATATGACCCTCCTACCACTTTATTTTCTCTCAACTATACGTTTCATGATCCAATTATCTGAACATTTCTTATAACATCATTATATGTTGAATATGACATAATGTGGAAGCGAAATTGCACATAATACTTACTCCATCTAATGAATATTCTATCTGAAACATAATTCAGTAAGAATATGTTCCTTTTTTGTCTATTTAAAATAAATTACCAACTAATTAGTTTCACTATTGACGCATTCAATAGTAAACACTTTTGTTCTTAACACTGTGAGGAATTTCATTAATATTGTTCCAAACTCATTGTCTCAGCACATCGCTTAGTCATCTTTCCAGGAATACTGAACATGTATATCATAAACATCATGGGAAAATATTTACATCAGTATTAATGGGTCAATAATAGACTCAAACGTATACTGATATTCAGTTACATTACTGAGCTATTATAGCAAAATTGGTTTACACTCGGACTCTAAAAATCGGATAAAATCCTTGAGAAAATAGTAAGCAATTTAAAACTACCAAATATATCGAAATTCTTTTGCCGTTTAAGCATCAATTTTTATTTTGACAGTTTTTATACTAATCAAATAATAAGGAGCATGAACATTATATGACCATTATCAGGGTCATTTAAAATCCAGACCATAGTGTCATCGAACATAATAGTTTGCTTCAAATATTTTGAATGGATGTAATGTGTATGATCACATTGTCAAAAAAGGATTTAGTTGAGAATAAGTAAGGAGTTATGTATATATGCCTTATCATTTTTATAATGAAAAAAGGATATTCAAATGACCACAGATAGAGTAGCTTAATTTTACGTCATATAATATTTTTAGAAAATGCAATAATGAGGTACATGCTTCAGATAATCCCAATATTTTTGAAACAAACAAACATGAATGAAATGAGCCATCATTTATATGTTTTCGTATAGTGATCTGAAGAATACTGGATAAGTAATATTCATTTAAACTAACAAAATGTCTCGAAATAATAGATAGAGGTTTCTAATCAAACTTTGCACAGAATTCATCATGACTGCGTATCATTTAAGAAATTGGGGAAAAAATTTTTTGTTTTTTTTCAAATTATTTGACTCCTCAGAAGTATGTGCATATAATTCAATCTTAGTTTAAATCAAATAATAAAATAAACAGTAAGTTCATTATTTAATAGTTTACTTAGTTAAACTCAATCATACCATGACATAATGTAAATGATCTTCTAATGTTCGGTTTATTATTATTATTATATTTGTTATTATTGTGATGCACTTGATTGTCCTAGAAAGCTACGACTTCTCACTGAAATTTCAATTGGTTGTTTTGTACCATATACTTAGTTACTATCAAACACTAACAATGAATGAAAGTGTTAGTTGTTAGAGAACGAAACAGATTTGTATAATTAAATCTTATTTATCATAAAATACACGGTTATCTCCATTATGAAAAAGATTATTTATAAGCATATACTTCAGTTTTATTAGAATATAAGTTAACTATCACTAATTAATAGAATTTTCAGTGGTGAAACACTGTTATCTAACATGTCTACTAACACACATTTATCTATTTATTTTAACACATAGATATTGGTACAAAGAGGCACCAAATACATATGGGCCACACAAATCTCATTCGATATGTGTGACAGTTGTGATACTGCCCGAGTGCCCAAACCGAAGCAGATGGTTTTCTCAGGGGGCCACACCCTGAGCTTTCAACCTGAAGGTGTGATCCACAAGGCAGTGGAGCATCGTAAGGAGATGCAGTCCCATGGAAGCCATTTGTTTCCTCGGGATACTAGAGCCCATGTGCACCATTGGTTTGGAATCCAGTTAAAGCGCCGGACATTCGCTTTTCGTCCTCTCATTTTCGTGAAGAACACCCCCGCCACGAGAAGGCAGTAAGTAGGACTTCCCTGGCAGATGCTATACTTGCGTGGCCATGTGAGAGCGTTTTGAGAAGGCTGTACCAGGGCATTTGGGGGCTAACAGCGATCATACCAATATTTTAAGGAAAATATTTAGTTCCTTTAGAACCTCAAATAGCATATTTTACAGGCATATTATAGTACCTATGGTATATATATATGGCGAATTCTACCACCGTTGATGTAACGAGGTAATTATTGAGGGAAAATTAAATCTGTAATTATATTTAGCGAAAATTGTATGAATAAATTATTACTATTACTATTAATGCTATAATTATCATGCTAATAATGAAAGATTAACAAAGTTATACTTTAATATGTAAAGATTGTATACCTTTTTTGTTATGTCTCAATGAGAATAATGAACGGTAAATTTTGGGATCCATTTATGAATTAATACTAAACGTATATTTTTATCGTGTAATTGATGAATATCTAAACTATTCATATTCGTGTTCCTCTTATCATAAGCTTTATTTTGATCTATGAACTGTTATTATACGATTTAGCATTCTTAAGTTATACTTAGTCTATCAATTACTACTTCCCACATTCACAGCCACATTTGACTGAATCATGTACAAATGTTGTCTCCTATTTTATGGTATGATGTGGTTTATGTGATTGATATATATAAAGCCAGTATGTTTGAAATAAATGATTGATATCACAGAGGCTGAGATTGGTGTTTTGAACTTAACAGACTGGTTAAGGCGGTAAGCAGGACCAATAGGGAGTCTAGACTGCTTGTACGTGTTTTATGTGTCGTTGATCCGATCGATAATTCACTGTTCTTTAATTGGCGGTATCATCACGTCATATAATAGTAGAACACTTAGGCAACAAGTTATAACACTTTTCCTCTAATATCATTTCATTAATTCATATTCTAAGGAATCATTTACTCTACAATACATCTTAGTTATATACTGAGATTACAATTAGAAAAAAATTAGATCCAAGACATTGTAGTCAATATAATTCACATTGAATTGTATAAACTTTAAATACAGTAATTACACAATATTGATACTTGTGTAGTTATAATGATAATTTACAGTTAATATGCTTTTCTATTATTTAATTTTTAGTGTATACAATAATCAATCATCAAATTACCAATGAATGTAAATAATAGAAATTTTAATGAATAATGATATTAATTATTCATTAGGGTTTACCAGTGCTTTCTCTTAAGTGTTCCAATTATTATTTATTTTCTTTTAAACGATTTTTTTAAACGAAGTAAACAATTTATTCACATAATTTTGTTTTTCTAAGAAAAACAAGTTAATATCTAAGTTTTTTTCAATGAATTTACATTGATGTACTTCTTCAAGGTACTTCTTGTACTTGAACATTGTTTCATATCATTCATGATACTGATATGTCAGTGCTTAACATAGTTTCTTTTCTTCAAATCTCTGGCATTGTATACTATTCTAGAAGAATATTCTCTGTGAATTATTCTTCTATCGTTTCTTTTACTGTCTTCTTATATAACAAGAAATGTATTTTTTAATCTATAAATTGATGTTTATTTGACTACCTTTTATTAAAGATGTTAAGTGAACCTCACTATTATTATTATTTCTATTTTGTGAAGATTTACGTGTTTTTATATGATTATTTTGTATATGAATGCAATGTACTTGAATATTGGTGTTTTATTTATAGACAATAAGAGTTTAATTAAAATAACCAACCATAAAAGTAATTAGGATTTTCGTAAAATACGTTTGCATTGGGCAGAGAATTTTAAAAACAACTTTAAAAACTTATTTTTCTGAAGTCGAGATTTTCTCGCTGATTGTTGATTATGTAACGTTGCTAAAAATAAAACAAAAACAGAAATGAATAGTACAAAAAAGACATAAAAATCGTAAGCGTATAAATGGATGAGACTATAATTTATGGACAGACTAATCAGGTAACACGTTTCGGGTTTTGGCGTGAAATTCCCTCATTCATTTGGTTAACTAGATTTTTGGCATTATAGATTATGTCATTTCGTGATGAAAATTTTAAATCTAATTGCTAACCTTAGCTATCAACTGTAAATCATTATTCTCATTCCTCACACTGGTTTATAACTCTCATTTAGTCCTGCTGGATACTCTCAAGATCATTCTAGCACCGTTCAAAGGTCGTTCATAAATTATAGTCTCAAAAGTAATTATTTAAATAAATACATCAAGCTGTAATCAAAGTATAAACTAAATTACTACATCCGCTCAATTATTACTTTTTCAAAAAAGTCCTTAGAACATTCAAGAAGTGAAAAAAGTGAAGTGTAAAGCAAGCCGTGAAACTTGAAATAGACTACAAATAATCAGTCGTATATGAATATTTTTGGTGTTTGTGATAACTGACAATTTCTTTGTGCATTATTCCGTATTTGATTAGAATTCCAAATTGGTTACCTGTATATGCGCTGACATATTTCCCTTTAACTTAAATATTGATTCATTTGTGACGACTGATGTAGCAAATGAACCCTCCTATAAATTACTAGTTTACATGCTGAAATTAATTACTTCTAATTATTACAAAGAATTTACTTAATCATGAGTATTTTCTAAGCGCAATAGCAGAGAATCAAAAACAGTTGAAGATACAATTTATCAAAACGGAATACATGAGATGTTTAGAGGTTATGTTCCAAACGAAGAAAGCGAGCAAAAAACGTGTTGAAGACTTCAACAATTAAGTAATTTTCACAAATTGAAATCATGAGTCAGTTGAAGCTAGACCACCATTGAAAATTAAGTAATTATATACAATATTCTCTACCACACCTAATGCATACAAACAAAACTGAAAATTTACAATTTGTAGGATTTAAAGATACGTTCATTGTCGTATGTAACTGAGCTAATAAAATCACACGTGTTTCGAGATAAATCAACAAACAACATACAAACTCAAATCTTTGAATGGAAGAGCCTTCTTATCCTGTAAAGCCATCTAAATGACAGTGTAATTGCCACACTAACAGGCTAGAACCCTATCCGCTTGCAAAAACATAGGATATGAACTTCAAACCTTGTTCATCATCAACTTGAAATGATTAGTTTTATTTAACTACATCTGGATCGGGTGTGATTTTCGAATATAGAAAAGTTTGTTTCATATTCTGACCTTTCAGGAATCTAGAAGAATACTATATTGGTTAGTTGTTAACACAAGTCATCGAGAGTAGATCGTCAATATAATCTCCACACGCATCATTGAATATGAAATAACATTTTATAGTGGAAGCGACCAAGAGGGGTCATTACTATCACTCGTCAAAACGATTTCAGTGTTTGGAAATTTCTATCACAACAAAACTAGTACATGCATTTCGCATAATGCCTCATGCCTTAACCCTAAATTATGCCTACTTAGATGTAGCTTTGAACCAAAATGTTTAGATGACCCGTTAAGATATGAATAAAGTGATAAATCACTAATATTTCATTTCAACACTCAGCATTGCACAAGTTGCACACTACGCTGTAGTTAGGCTTTATAAAGTTTGACAAGAACTTGTATGCTGCCTGTCCTAATGAAGAACCATAGGACAAATAAAGAAGTATTAAATGATGGCTGGTAAAATATGTAGCTATTGTATATGGGATTACTATTATGTGAGACGTCTCAGCTAGCTAGCTTCAATAGGAAAACTATTCCATATCAAAATGAAACTATATAGAGCGGATGCTTTAACGAGCTTATCTACCCATTTGGTGTCTATTCGAACCGACAAGTTCACCACCAGTGCCAGCTGCCTATGAAACTATTCATTTTGAAGAGTTTTTTATATTCACGGGTTTATCCATTATTCAAAGACTTTATGAAGGCTGATAGTCCATTCTTTTCTTTGAACGTTATGTCCTATATTAAAATGAGAATTCTATAACTGACTAAAAACGACTGTAGATCACCAACATAGATGATCTATGTCGGAAATGATTGGAGAACTACTCGAGTTAGACGTGAATGGTGTGACAAACTAGCTAACGTCAAAGTCATACCTCATGGTCATCACCATACGTAAACTACCCCATAGCTGTATCAAGGTACCATAGATGCTTTGAAGACTGTACAACACAGAGGACGTCATTACAGAAATATATTGGTTGAAGTAGATACAAGCGAAAGTGAGACCTCTGCCGCATGGGCCAGTCCATTGCATCTGACTTTCTGATGCTCGTTGGTTGTCTTTGACCTTGACGAGGCCTGATGATTTTTTTGATATTCAATGACCCGACTGCCGGATGATTTGGCTAGGACTTAGTGTCGTTTCGCTGGCCCTGCAGTAATAATGGACGGGCGAAAAGTATGTTAAAGAGCAAGCAGAGGAAGAAGGATATAATGTTACTAAAGTAGCTGTATGGAAGAGTAGAACTGCTTCCCACCGAGTTGTACAGAGAACGTGTACTATATCTGACAGGGACGTTTAACCAGTAGTGACGTTTAAAGCTACCAAATTCAGCTAATTTCTTAACAAACGAATTCGCCATCACAACGAAACACATACACGAAAATTTTTGAATATCCAACATTCAGATTATAAAACAAATGAAATATAGACTAAATATCTATGACAAGAGTTATCTTATTTTACTTTAGCTGATGTTTAGTTTATTGAATTTTGTACTGAAGGTTGTTCTACGTTTTGGTTTTGGCGGCTTTATTGGTACAGAAGTTTAATCAACTTCCAGCAAGGTTATTATTGTTGAATAAACTTAAAGTCATTGTTGACTATATCGCTTTTCATCAACAACATATTCTGGTGGCAAGGTTAGTAGTTCAAGGTGTTATAGGATGCATGTTGTGATATACGTAAATTTTTACCCTATAGGATAGCAGCTATTTCAACTAGCTACAATTTTCTCTTCTAGACAGTGATTATAACGTTTATTCAGTCATAACTACATATCTGGTGAGCTGTAGTAATGCCTCAGGGAGTTAGCACTTAAAGCTAACGTCCTTACTGTTAAGAGAAGTCTATCAATTAGATATTTGTCTTGAGGATTTGCACCGCGTTAATTATTGATTGCAAAATATATTTATTACAGTAGATTTTTTTTAAGTGTTGGCCAAAAGAGATCCAAAATGTGTCCTTAATAAATAACGAAATATCTTAATTATTGTGAAAAAATACTACAGGTCACCATTGACCCCTATTCTAGACAATGTCATAAAAAATTCGCAACTTATCAGGGCTAAAAGAAAGGTCTTTTGATTAAGTTTGTGGACGGGCTTATTTGGGGTATTTGTCACATGCTTTGTAGTTACTCAGCCATTCTGCCTATTTGTTTACCGATGGTAAGTTGAATCAATAAAACTAAGGATATTTATTCGTATACTTCGTCATTATATACGAAAGATATTCAAGTATGAAATGCACAGAAAACCTAGTATAAATGATCTTCAAAGCTAAACTGTTGATTTTTTCAAATTTATGCATGCTGACATTATATACTAGTTATGGCCAATACAGGAATGTGGACTGTGGTTTTTTTCGGTTGCGCCATCTTAACCTGGTTTGATTTCTGGGGATTAAAAAGCAGCAGCAATTCAGAGAAAATCATACCAACTCTAAAGAAACCAACAAACCCACTTCCTACACTTCAGTTCATGTTTTGGTAAGTCTGATAACTTTCATCTTAATCTCCTTAGCGTTTCCTGAGGATATCGGCGGGTGTTCGAGGAGATGTCACGGATCGTCTTGCAAAAACATCCATCTTTTATTATAGAAGGCGATACGTATCCTCCACCCGCCTGGCGAGCTCACTTGGCAAAATCCTTACAATTCCTCAAATATTCCGTTATTCTTATTACAGTGTTTAATTTCGACCCCTTTGGATATCTTGGTTACCCTACTCCTAACTTTGTCTCATATGCCATGCAAAATAAAGTGAGTTGAAAGTAGCTCAAGTCCATGTTTTTTGTATATAGCATACTTGGCTGACTTAACTCCCTCACAGTCTTAGATTTTTATGAAGGCAAAAACTATTGTACTCTGTGCTGTGCGAATAAATTAAACTGTGAATGAATCGCTAAAACCCGTTGTGCTTATTTTTTTAGGACCCATTGGTATTTTTTTAGTGACATGAGATCACGTTCTGTTTTCAGCTTCTGTTATCACTCCGAATGGATTCTACACTACGAGCTGCGCATGCCGTACTTGTACCGTAGTCTGAAAGTAATTTGGAAAATAATTCTTATTCATGTGTTTTTAACGCATTCAACTTGTGTCACAAGGGATATACACTTCCCAATAATTAATAGCGTATTAAGAGCTCCAGTTTATTATGTCTTGATAGGAACATTTATTACATTCCGTTCTTTAACTTACGTACTTACTGGTACGATCAGTCAACTCAATAAATTTGGATATATAGTTCTGAAAGTGAGATCGATAGACATGATTATGATTTTGAATAACTGTCTACACTCAGCATCTTTTTACGGTTACATTTTGGTTTGATTTATTGTCAACCTGGTTTTCAATCGTCTAATGTACAAGTGAATTGTTGATCAAACGTTCATATGAAATAGAAACACTTGTTAATGTTTTATGCATTAAAATATATCTATTATTGTTCGGTTTCATAAAAATATAGTTCAACATCAATTTATTTGTCTTCAGGTTTCTTTCTGTCTGATGACGTTTCTACTTGGAAATATTATTGAAGGACAGTTGCTATCTACAGGCGCTTTCGAAATATACTTAGATGGTGAGTATCAAATTATTTTTGCAAGTCAATTACACATTTCTGACCGCGCCTACTGTTTTTTTAAAAAAAAATTTGTCTTAAGTCTTAATATTTGCTATGTCGAAATGGAAGAATTAAATTCGGGAAAAATTATCAAGTTGTAAGTAATATGTATTTCATTGGATTCAGTAGTAAAGGAGTAACTTGAATGTAGACAAGGTCTTCAAAAAGAGAAATTTCTGAGAGTACATAGAAAAAAATATTGAGACGAAACCAATACCTTATTTAACGATATTATGTCTTATCGTAGAAAGTGTTTCTAAACTCTGACACAGTATTTTTCATTGTTTCACTTGTGAAGCAGTAGAAATATCCTTATTCGACATAACAACTACACACAAGTTCATACATTTGGATACAATCTACAAATCAGTCGGTCAGTTAGCTACAACGTAGGACAAGGCACATATATGCATCTGTCCAAGTTGCCATATCTCATTAACACAACAAGATGGACAGCGAATTCATAGTAGTTAATTCAATGGTAGTACTACATAAAAGAAAGATTGTATATAAGGATATAATACAGGGAGAAAGAATGAGTTCGTAGAAAAAAGATAGGAAGCGATTTTAATCTCGCGGTTTGAGGGAAGACAGGGAGTGTATACACCGACATCATTGTGATTAATTCTGAGCCATGTCACCCATAGTCTCTAACCATTGGTTACGATAGTCACGCGGACCCCAACCAAGTAGTCTGCATCTCCCAACATGGCTCAGACTAGAAGTTAGTGACTTAAAGAACCGATGCCACATTTTGGTTTGGACACCCCTAACTTTCTTCCAACCATCCCCAACACCGGTTTGCATCGCGCATCGTGGTAATCGGTGTCCAGACATAAGTAACACGTGGCCCAGCCATCTCACTCGATGAAGATTCACAACCTCATCAACTGATTTACCATCATTACATAATACCTTACGTCTAACCTCACTATTACTTACCCGGTGATCCCAGTAGAGTAAGCAATAGTTCTAGGATGTTTGTGACCAAATACTAGTAACTTACGAATATCTTCTACTCTTAATGGTCATGCTTCGCAGCCGTAAAGTAGAACAGAACGAACTGTCGCGCAGTATAGCCATCCTTTCTTGATAGACGGATATCTCGCCTTCGCCATAGGTGACGTAAATTGGCAAAAGCCAAACGAGCTTTCTGAATCTGCACAGAGATTTTGTCAGACACCAAACCACTAGGGCTGATCAGACTTTCAAGATAAGTTAAGTTGTCAACGCGTTCGACTACTTCACTCCTTGTCCTTAGTTCAGGTATGGACGCAGACCAGTCCTAAACAACAATTTGCATTTAGAGGGGGAGAAACATATCCTAAACATCCTGGCATTGTTGCTCAGTGCCATCAAAACACTATGCATTTTGTCAGCGTCTTCACCAAACAGGACTATATCATCTGAGTATTCTAAGTCGATAAGTGGACCACCTGGTGAGAGATCGATGCTCGTAAATTCTGTCGAAGAGAACGTTATTTCCAGTGGTAGGTTGATGATGAAGTTAAACAAAAATGGACAAAGTGGACAACCTTGACGGACACCATTTGAGGTTGCAAAAGCAGATGACAGTTCGCCATAAGCTCTGACTCGATTAGTAGTGTTCGAGTAAAGAGCCTTCACAAGGTTTATGTACTTCTGCGGTACGCCTTTCAATGACAGACACTGCCACAGAATCTCGCGGTCTACAGAGTCAAATGCTGCTTTTAAGTCAAGAAAGACAGCCATTCTTGGATGCCGATAACTATCTCTGTGTTCAAGAACCTGATGAATGATGAATATGTGGTCGATGTAGCCAAAACCAGGACTGAAGCCAGCTTGATTCTCTCGTGTTTGTAGTTCACGAGTCTTAGTTAGGCGTCCGATAATTATCGAGGCTAGTATTTTAGATGCTATATTAGTCAAACTAATTCCTCTGTGGCTATCACAGGATGATTTTGACCTTTTCTTATATATTGGGACAATCAGTGATTGTGATCAATCAGATGGGATTACGTCTAACTACCAGATTTTAGCTATAATATTAGTCAACCTAATAGCTAAAGTTTGACCACCATCATTAAATACATCTGGAGCCAGTCTATCTGGACCAGTTACTCTTCCTCGTTTCAGATCAACTATAGCCTTTTGAACTTCATCTAGAGTCGGGGGACCTACTTCAATCTTCTATTCACGCTGTCTGGAAATGGTGGGTAGTTGTAGAGTGGCTGAAGGCCAGCTAAACTGTTTAAAATATTCCGCCCATCGTTCTAAACGTCGTCTTTTTCCGAGATAGTTTCACTTACATTTGACTTACGAATTCCAGTTTCTTTTATTAGTCTGTAGAGCTGTCTTGTACTACCTACAGCTGCCGCCTTTTCCATCTCTTGCTTTCGTTGCCCACCACTGCTCACGGTCGTTCCTTAGACTTTTGCTTAACCTAGGTCTGATTTGTTTTCGCTCTTCATCGTGTTCAGAGCCTGATGGGATGAGTTTACGAGAATCTGTGAGTGCAATAGTAGAGTCCACTAATCACAATTGATTGATCACTGGGTAGTGATCAATGTCATGCTTGTCTAGTCCTTATTATTGCAGATCGAATACTATCGATCATGTTGCAATGTGGCCACCAGTCTAGGTGACTCGACACTGCGGGCACTATGTATTGGGATTTTGATGGTGGTTGGAGGCAGTCAACAGGAAACAGGGTTTTCTGTTGACTGCCTCCAACCACCATCTAGAGTCCACTGATTTTTGGTCTAAATCACTGATAGGTCACTAATAAAACCGGGATACTAAAATACCCACCTAAATGTCTTTCTGTTCGGTTTAAGCTACCTACTTGGGCATTGAAGTCACCTGCTACTAGTACTATGTCTGAACGTCTAGCTTTTTGAAGTTCGGAAAGCTTTCTGTAAAAGTCACCTTTCACTTCATGCGGGCTGAAGTCAGTGGGAGCGTAGGCAGAAACGATGTGTGTCCCTATCCTTCTGAGTTCTTACGGAGCCGTTTAGCCGAACAGCATATAAGCAACTGTTAACGGGGATCCATTCTAATAGTGCTTGTTCCGCCCTCATGCTTATTGCTATGCCTACACCTGGCAGTCCACGAGAACTAAATATCAGGTCGCCAAATACACGGACGGTGTATTTCGTCGGCTCTCCGTTTTGGCGGGGTGAAGGCAAGTGAATGAGCACACTAGGATACTGTTTCGGAGACAGAGCATGCATCAGTGGTACGAGATTCTAGGGTTTTAGCCAAGGAGACCTGCTGACCGATTTGACACGGTGCGTACATTGAAGGCTCCAATGTGTAGCTTGGAGCGAGGTTTCACTAGACTTGGGACAGTGTTTTGAGCACTAGGATCGTTAGCTATGGTGACACTTGAGGAGAAAGCCAAAAGAGGGAGTTTAGTGTTGAAAGTCGATGTAGGAGGAATAATAGGAATTACGAGGGAAATTGATTATGAATACAGTGATCCTGAGTGCTGTTAGAAGTATGAAGGCAGTTATCACTTCCCGGTTGCCCAAACCGTGGAAGGATTCTTCTGGTGGTACCTGAAAAGGACATTGGATTAAAGGTGGTCTTAGTGACCTGAGAGCGTGACCGCAGTGCCCCAGGGACAACTGCTTGAGGTCGGTCACACATGACCGTTTTATGAGTAATTTTTTGTTAGCTTTGTACTTTTTGGGACCTTACAGTCGGAAACGGATATCCGTGGGATAAGGTGAGGTGTGCATTTTTAGGGTCGACCTTTTTTAACTCCATCCCTCCTTGTGAGAAGGCAGCACCGCTTTTATGCTGGTTGTCTGAAGGAAACACCTTATTGCCGTCACACCGTATAGTCAGCAGTACGATTTTGACTTCGGACCTTGGGTTTGATGCATTTAGTCTCACCGTTCTCCAACTAACTTTTCTGGCATGGTAGGACCTTAAGGAACGATTGTCTCGAAGTACACAAATCTATTCTTGCTAAATGATTTACATAGACGTGATGAACCACGTTTCACGTAATGTTTGCACAGATTACCTTGAAAAAACATCCCTAACTCCCAGTGACAAACATGAACATGTTAGTTAAACACTTTATCGTACTTTAAGAAATTCATCGATCAATTATCCTTAACTGATTATATTATCAATACCTCTGCTTTCGGTGTAAATATTAAATGAATACAAGCGTCTAGTGTGTATGTGTTAGCGGGACATAGACTGGATTAAAGCATGCTCAATGCACGATTGCCTTGGCGCACGCTGATTGGCTAATTCTTATCCAATCGGCAGTAGTCAATACTTAGTGAACACAAGAAATCTCATGTGAAAAAACTATAAATATACTGACGTTTTCCCTATTACACTTACTTCCATCAAACCTTGTTATTTGGAATATAATCTCTTTTCCTGTTCAACCGTGTTCTGATTTGGGGGACTTGTCGAGTGAATCGGTGTCCGAGAATGCTAAGCAATAAGAATAGCTGAGTTATAACAGTAAGAGAGAATTATAACAGTAAGGAATTCATGTCTACAACATATGATGCGATCATATTTTGCTTTGCTTAAATCGATTTTTACGGTGAAGTAATGTGGGTTATTTTTTACACAATAAGTAGGATTCAGAATAATTATACAAAAGTGACACACGGACATTTGTGCCGGATATTTTAATAACGCCGTTAGCAACAAATTACTAAGTCAGCAATAAGTGCGTCTTACTCCATTTGATTTTCACAATTTGCGTGTTTAAGCTTTGGTTTTTAACACAGCTTCTTCAGTGTTAAGCAATTTCCCAATGAATAGAAACATAAGACTATCCGGCGTTTCGTAACTCAGTGTAAGCCGCTTCTTCAGAGAAAAAGTAACCAAATCAATTTTGATTCGGCATACATTGTCACGAAACGTCAGAAAATCTCATTTTTCTACTCATTGGGATATTACAGATATAATATTTATCTATAACAATCTACGCAATGCTCAATTTATTCGAAATTACGAAGTCAAACCTTGGTAGTGATACCTTCAATGATCATTGTTTTAATGTTTATTTTCCCACTTTTCGACGTACTTCTCACTTTCAAAGGATATCTTTAATTTATCCGACTATTTCTTATTATTATCACTAGTACTTATGTTCTCATATAATCATTCTTACTTCCTACGGCTAGTTTCATAATCAAAGCCGACCCACAATATATTCGTTCTTATTTACTTGAAGAGAATTCCTAATGATTTATATCAATGACATACCTTATGGATATACAAGTAATTTCGTCTGAATTTGATCGAACAGTCTCAGTATTTGTGCGCCGAGTTGATGTGAGACATTTAAAATGAACAATGTATTTGCAAAATCGTTAGATTTGCTTCAAATTCATTCTGTGAGATTTTACAAATACAATCCTCCTTTTTAATGTCTTCTACATCCCAATGTTCACTATAATGTCAGTGAATATAACTAATCAAAATGTTATCCTGCAATGCGACCTAATCTTATAAATCGCTAGCTAGAACGTGTTGTATTCTAAGCCAGGATTATAAAGCACCGATAACTTGATTAAAAGAATCTTGTTCTATCCAAATCCAATCATAAACTTCAGTGTCAACTTCTGATAGTTATCTTCATATATTTGTATATTCACTCAGTGTTACATATCCTTTATTAACTTCTCTCGTAACATTAGCATTTCAAAAATTATACTGAGAATTTAAGTGATGATATTTTCCTTCTTTGGTTGATTGTTTTCTGGTTACCACTTCCCGGAAACAAGATGTTTAAGAAATTTCACTGGCATTTAGAAAATAATAATTCGGAAAACCCTGTATCACTAGTCAAATACTTAAATTCTATTCAACTTCACATTTTTCATACGAGATGAATAGTTATTCATTTAAGAAATCTTTCAACTGGTTAAGGCATTGTAATGCTAATTTTCAGCATTCAGAGGTGACATTCATTGACGTATTTAAAGGGATTAAAAGCATTCTAGCTAAATATATAATCAAATTCATTTTTTCCTACTGAAAGTCCAGTTATGTTGATTTGATTTTCAGATATCCCAATCTGGTCGAAATTGTACACAAACCGTATCCCTCAACCAGAAGAACTTCTTCACATAATTGACAGTCACGTAAAACTTCGAGATTCGACAAAAACAATACAATCCGTCGGACCACCTATGTAGTATCTAATGCACACTATTGGCTTTAATTTTCTTTACTGATAAAAGCGCAAGGTCGTACCATATTTGAGCTTTTTCTGACTTTATGACAGTTTCCACATCAATCTCTGCTTAGAGAATGTGGTTAACTTGATGCTAACCCGTTCTAGTTCAGATATGTCGACTAGCCTTTTCACCTTTATTGTATTTTCTTAAAAGTTGACTGCCTTTAGTTAAACTTGTTCCTTTGTATATTGTTGAACAATTTCATTAGTGTAAAGTGATATTCATTTACTTGTGAAAATAAATGCCCTGTAATCGTCTCGACGTAAATTTCTGTATACATTGAGATCCCGACACAAAGTATCTGGTTATAAGACTGAAAATTGTCCCAACTGTATGGTTTTCTTTCATAAACAAAACTTTCGATGTACTACTGAATATGACATTCGCACAACTGTTAACTCAAAGCTTATTAACAGTGAAAATACGGTCAGTAATCAAATGGAGGTTAAGCGAGCGCGCTGCAGAAAAACATATATTTGTTTACTAAAGAGAGCATATCTTTGTATAAAATACACCAACTTGTCACTTTGATTCGGATAAAACCAGATCAGCAACTGACTTGGATATAAGCAATACCCAGGATAATAATTGACTGACGGAACTGAGTCCTATTCTTACAAAAATTGCAACTAGTGAAATGTGCTTAGCTAATTGAAGTACACTACGATTAGTGATAAAATACACTACTTCGGCGGAGTAGGATCTACAACATTGTTTACGTCGTTTTTATTTAAGCCAATCACATTTGAAATAATCTGGAATGTGTATTCTAGTTTCAATATTTTCCACCTGATTTCAACAGAATATGGTCGAATTTTTAGCATGTGTCCCAGTAGTCTCTGGTCAACCCTATCGAACGATATTGGTAACAGAAATATTGTTTGTGAAAGTCATTGTCGTAGGGTGGCAAGTCGGTCAAAGACCAGTTGTCTGAGTATTATCTATTCAATAAACCGGATTACAGAGAGCTTCGTTAAACCTACTACTCAAGAACCTCATCTGATGAATCAGAAACCTTACCATAGAACTCTTCTGGACTTCAGTCAGTGGGACTAGAATTTAAACCGAAGGTACTTATTTTGCTTTTAAGCCACAATCAGTGATACAACTAGTGTTTGAATACGCTGAGGATGAACTGTTGTTTAGATTAAAACTCGATACGTAGTTTATGGTCTGAGTTCTTACATATCTATCAAGAAATCTATTGATTCGGAGTGATAATGGTAGAGACAGTAATTCAAATTAAATGTGTATCCTTAACTCCCTAGCAAAATATGGTTGATTTTGGATCACAGTTTTATGTATTTACAACGAAAACCCTAAATGTAAAAATTACGTAAGTCGATTGCAATCTATACAGAGATGTTGGAACGCTTGATAAAGTTAAGATATTAAGAACAGGAATTATCACATGATAAATCCACTTCTCATGGATTGTAAATGATCCCAACTTACTATTTGTATTCATGGAATCTACTAACTAAACAGTATAGACCGCGCCTAACTATGAAGAGTATGGTTTCCAGTTTCGTATACTAACTAGAAAATTCAAATTGTATGATGAATATTGGACTTATTTACCGGTTACTCAGAATAAGTGTAGCCCAACAGCCTTATCAACTTAATTATTATATTATAAGTGAATCTAAATACTGAAATGACAGATTTGTAGCCACAACACACACGCCGCATTAAAACTACAAAACCCTCAAAATATCAGATACAACTAAGTGCGTGGAAGATTGAAGAAAACCTTATGGATGCGCTGAGCTAATATTATAAAAAAAATTTACGATTGTCTCACCAAAATTAGGACAAAACAACTTTATACATCATAAAATTTAGTTATTAAAAAATATCAAAACCTAGTACATTTTATAATTTTTAAAAATCTAGTCCAGGTAGAGGGTATTTTGAAGCGAATTCCTCAATTTCAAGCCTCAACTTTTCAATCATTGAACGTACTTCAACATTTGTTTCAACAACAACCTAGTTAGAAAGAAATGAAACTAGCTATAGTATATACACATATCTGAGTAACGTTATAAACTTGAGGATTTGATGATCAGATAATGGATTTTATTTTTATTTATCTACGCTGCAACAGGTTACAGCCAAGAAAAGTATCTTATTCAACTAGATGCCACTCTCTACTACGTGCGCATCACAGAACTTTGTGGCCTTAGATGGAGATTTCATGAAAACTAGGCATAATGGAGAATCAAAATAGTTTGCTTGACCATTGTTAATCCATAATTTATGCCAGATCAAATGCAGACAGTTTATTTTACACTGGTGCATTAACCAAATATTGTTTAAACAGCATGGGTTAGCACTCACTTAAGTGTGGATAATTCTATGATCAATCATATGACATAGTTTGGTAGTTGACCCATTTAATAAAATACGCACTCTTACTCAGTGATTGTAAAAAAAACTACATAAAAATATTTACAGCGCATTTTCATGACGTCACAGTCATAAGTAAACTAAACTATTAGTTTTTATAAACCGAATTCTAGAGAAATATTTGATCAAACCAAGTTTTTTTATTCATAAGCACGAAGCAAAAACAATAAATATCTAAGCGAACGGTTGTTTTCAGTAGCTTTGCTAACCTACTCCTTGTTAAAAATTCATAGCCTATATTATAATGATCAAAATAAGGTATACATAAATATGTGAATTAGGCAATGCTGCACGTTAAAATAGTTCGCTTTGCATTAGCGTCAGAAATTCTATTTCTAGGGCGATTCTCATTTGCTAGGTAGTGACCACATGAAAACAGACGAGGTATAAATATACAACTGTACAGCCTGACGATGAAGTTATTGTGAACAACTGTTAGCTAAAATATCTCTTGGTTTTGAATAATCATTTAGTATCTTAAGAAACATTTTTAAAAAGAACTCTATTCATTGTATATACTCAGAAAAAAAGATAAAATTAACGCATTAGTTTCACAGAACAACTAAGAACTGGTACACGCACAGAGTCCACTTAGGGAAGTTGGAAAACCCTGATTCCAGACCAGTACCAATAGTGCACATCCGCTCCGGGTTACTGTGGGAACAAATGGTGGATGAACCTATTGTTAATCACTGGTTACCATACGACTGCATTACTTAACGTCGCTCCACTGTTTTGTGGATTGGACCTCTAAATCAAAGACTCGTAGAGCGGCCCCTACGAAAACCACCTGGGCAATATCTTAGCATACGCATAAATCACATGATGATCACAACTGGAAAATATCATTCTCACTTCAATCCGCATTCTGACAAATTACATTCACAACTATTTGGTCACATTCGTTTTTATTTTACACATCACTTGTCTACTCCCTTTTATTCTCATTTCGTATATTGTTTTATTTCTCAACTCATACAACAGCTCGCCTATGCTGGGAATTTTATTGTATCTAAAACATCTCAAGTTACTGACTGGTCGAATTCTGAACAAGCCTTTCTTAAATCAAATGTGTTATTCAAACTGGTCTCCTTTAACTTCTATACACTAATGTAGATTGGACAACATAGTTGGCACAACGTCTTTGAAAAATCTTAATATCAACCTGTTATCCATCCGAGACCCATGATCAAGACTCTAATGAAGCACTACACATACACTCTCCATTCGTCTGGTCTAAAAGCTTGTTTCACGTATGTTTATTCGAGACCATGTGACATCTCCGTCCAGTTTTTCCAATGATGGCGTCACACTAAGCACTAGAGCTGAGACAACACTGATCGATTGGATCCCCATTAACAGTCGATTACGCGCTGTTATATTAGAAAGTTCCATCGAAGTGAGAAAAAATCGGTATGAGAAAAGATAAATTTTCGTTAACCTAACGAGATGAAGTCCGCAAAGAACTTCAACTCTTGAAGAGTTATAAATCAACCAAGGGACGATGACTCCTCAGATCTATTTAAGGATAGTGGATAACTTTTAGTTAAAGAACTAAGTTATGTGGAAACGTTTGAGAATCGGTGTTCTAACATCCTGGAATGAGGCGATAGTCGTTCCCATCTTCAATAACGTTTTGTGTCAACTATGCAACAACTATCGGGGGATAACTCTACTTCTAACTGTATCGAAACTGTTGACTTCCGGCACACTTCATAGATAGCTCAAAACCCATGAATGATTGATTCACGAGGAGCACGTCGGTTTTAACTATGGTCGATGTATTGACTAAAATCTTTGTCCCTCCCCAAATGTTAGAACAGCGCAATACTGATTACAGAACTTTCGCTGTGTTTCTCGACATCAAGGTCACGATTGGTTCGTTGGACAAGATTGTTCTCTGGAACTGTCTGTTGAAAAAGAGTATGTTCAAGAAAATTGATGTCCGACACAACGATCCCCTGTCTCTATTGTCCCACACGCGCAATGGAGTCAGGGAGATTCGCTCAACCACGACATTCCTCAACAATTTTGGCAATGATGAAATTCTGGAAACAACTCTGGTTAAAGTAGGTGATAGTAATGTGGTTACCTGTAGAAAGACTCGATCTTGGATGTGAGGATGATATTGCCTTAACGTGTGATGAGACTTAACCCACACAACATCCACTTAATCTGCATCCGTAGGAATAGAATGCTTTGCACCTTCTACGTGCAAAATACTTTTGTAAGACTGACAGGGGTTTCTATCTGATCTCACTCTTGATAATGAGCACTAAGAAGTTAAGAATTTCGTGTACTTAAGTAGCTATATAAGAGCTGGTGGTGGCATGACTGATGAAGTCAGTTTATGTACAGTGAAAGATGGAGGCCTATTCCAATCTAGGCCGGCTTTGGCCCAATCTACATTTTACTAAGATTCTGTAATTTTGTGCTCAAATACATTCAACTGTTCCCACATGTGTTCTCGTTTACTACACTGTTACTACCTTTACTATTTTGGGATTCTGCCTGACGATTTCATCTCTGTTAGATAATAAGGTATGGGAACCTGAACCGATGTACATACGTACAAGGTTCTACGTTGTGACTTTCTTAGATGAACTGTTTCTTCATTAATTTTAACTATTTACTCATTTTGATTCATTTACGGTATCTTTCCATCTATCATACATTCCTTTCTCTATCTCTTTACAATTCCATTTCTTATTGTGTGGTTCATATATATTTTGGTGCCCTTTAGTATCAATATTTTTGTGTTGAAAGAACTAATAATAATAATAAACTGGAAAAACCGTACTTCGTAATCCTTTAATAGTTTGCTGTTAGCAAGTTCATTAGCTTTAACAGCT